CTTGTCCCCTCTGGTGGCCCTGAGGCAGCAGCAGCAGCAGGAGACAGAGGCAAAGGAGCATTCAGATGCGCTCGGGCTCATCTTGCTGCTGCGTTCCCCGCCTGCCCGATCACCATCTCCACTGGGATTGACGTTGTCGCCTTGTCCCTTCTGGTGGTGGAGGCAGGAGGAGGCAGAAGAGGCAGAAAACAAGCACTTGCATGCGCTCAGGTGCCTCTTCCTGATGCCGCCGCCAGATCACCTCCTCCCACAACTTCCTGAGGGCAGGGGACAAGGCTGCAACGTGAGCTGGAGGTGAGTCGCAGTTGCACTGGAAGTGAGCAGCAGTTGCACTGGAGGAGGTAATCAGGCGGGCAACGGAGACAGTAGCAGGAGGAGATGGAGGTGGAGGAGCAGTTGCCCATTAATTGCTCCTCCGCCTCCATCAAGAGTCAATATTAGGGGGGTGTTTTATACATGGGGGTCGTATACACGGTAAAATACGGTACCACATTTTTTTGTGTATAAGACATCCCCATGTATAAGATGCCCTCCACTTTTCTCACCCCAAATTAAGAAATCAATATTTTAGACAAAACCAGAATACATTTTTATTTAGTAATTAGGTAACATTTACATACAGCACTGTCCCTGCTGCATCTGAGCAGTGCCTACATGCTCCACCTCCAACGAGTTGTGTTCCAGTTGGTTTGTTCAGCATCAGCAGATGTCAGTTACATAAGGCTCATGATTGGAGGAAGCTAAGTCTTCTGACTGTAGGAAGCTAAGCCTCCTGATTGGAGGGAGCTAAGCCTCGTGATTGAAGGAAGCCTGGTTGCAGAGGCAAGGTATGGGCAGTTTTGCAATTGTGTGGTTTTCTCCTCAGCTTACCTCCATGTGTAAGACAACCCTCAATTTTTAATCTAAAGATTTTAGACAAAACTATCATCTTATACATGGGAAAACATGCTAGTTAATGTAACAGCATGACAATTTTGTACGTGCTATCCTTTGTATGCTTGTACAGTAGGACTGCACTGTCTGCAGAAGGTCAATTCCAAGCCCTCCCTCCACAGATGCTGGAAAACACAGATAATAGCAAACCGTATATATAGCATAGTCTCTGGTTCCCTCTAGTGGCCAGTTCTGGTAACACATCTTGGAAGCTCGTATATTTCTGGGCTTTTTTATTTTAATATTTTCAGGCAGTGGATAAGTGAAATTGTGGATACTGATCATCTGGATGGGGGGTCCACCTGTACCTTTAATTGATGAAATAAAGTTTCTGGAATGATCTCACTTTTGTTTTTGTTTTTTCAAATTTCCCTCATGGAGGAAATATCTAAAAAAGTGTGATAGTTATTTGTGCAAAAATAATATCTTCCATTTTCAAAAGCAGGAAGCAACACACTTTTTAAACTTCCCAAAGAATGGTTTGTGGCTTGAAGATTCAGCACTTACAATTAAGAGAATAGACCTAAATAAGCATGAGTTTGGAATCTTCTAGTCCTACCCCTCCTTTGTTAATATAATTTGTTTTATTGCTTTATTCTCACATAAAATGAAGCATAAGGAGGCTGAAGTCAGGAGTGAAAAAATAGGAGGGAGGGAATGGATGCTTAATACTTTCCAATCAGTCTATTTTTTTTTCTTGCTCAAAATCACCCTTCTCTGAGTTGCTTTTTTCCCCCATGTGGGGGGAAATATAGCAATACACTTTACCAACTGTTTCCTACAGGAGTTTTACCAATAATGTATAATGTTTCCACTTTTCATTAATGTGTGTTCATTTTAACAGCATTTGTAAATATATTGTTCGAAAGCATACTCCCCTTCTGTGAAAAGTCATAGGGTAATCAAAATAATTGGCTTTTGTCCCTGATGGGGGAGTAATAGAAGATGTATCCAGATTCAGTGTTTATAGATAATTATAAGGAAACTGTTTTGTTGTAGCTACAGAATATTACTCATTTAGGGAGTACAGAAAGATACTTTATGAGCTTTTACATTTTTGTGTTTTTGTGTTCTACTTTTTTGCCACATGCACTGTCATATTCTGTAAACACAAAGTGCTTGCATTTTTGTGAGCATATATAAAACCCATACAGCAACAAGGGCTGGGAAAGACCCTGTCTGAAATTCTGAAGAATCAATGCCAGCCAATGCTGATGATACAAACTAGATGGTCTGACTTATGTAGCAGCTATAGTACTGATGGTTCCCAGATTTAGTACTGATGGCTCTATTATGAAATCTGATAAAAGTCTGAACTGCTAAAGATTAACATTTACGGTAGGTTATGAGTACTCTAAATTTTTGATAGAAGTACCTGTAAATGGATACGCTGGAAGTGATGGAAAGTGAAGGGCTTGATTCCTGCTGTTTAAAAAAGTCTTCACGGAATTGATCGTGTATGTGTTCTGGTTTGTCTATCAAACTGTTTTGGAATTGTCATGAATTGAGCATTCCTTCTGAATTATCAGCTGATAGGTGTATCAAGGAATGCCTTTTTCCTCATTACAGCTAGATTATTAACTGTGACCTCTTGTGCATAATAAGTATCTAGAACAAATCAATTGTTATGGTTATTCCTAGAAATAACCATAAGGATTGACTTTTGCAGTGCATACTTCAGCCTTTTTTGGGGTGGAGTGAATATGCAAAATGAAACTGTCTTCATTCTGACACAGGTGGCATACTAGGAAACGAAGTTGTTCTGCTACAATTATAATGAACTGATTACTATATTTTTCCATGTATAAAACAACACTTTTTCCTTTGAGGGAAAAAATTGAGGGTCGTTTTTTACACGGAAGGCTGCTTTTTACTGCTGCCTTTTGTGAAGGCACAGGGCTTAGCAAAAAGGAAGAGGAAGTGTTTCTCCTTTCCTTTTTGCTAAGCCCTGTGTCTTCTCAAAAGGCAAGGCACCGGGCTCAGCAAAAAGGGAGCCCTTTGATCCCTGCTTTTTCTAATTTGGGGTTAGAAAAGGGTCATCTTATACATTAGGTCATCTTATAAATGGAAAAATATGGTAAATAATTTTGAAGATGCAGCAATGACTGTTTCAGCATGTGTAACAAAACAAAAACAGATGTTTGCAGTCCCTTAGAGACTATTAACTGAAATATATGTCAATCTTTAAGGTACTTTTGTTTTTAATTTTGTTTCATTTTTGTTATACAGGATTAACTATTTGCTTCTAGATACAATTAAACAGGATAATTTTGAACTATCCATCTATTCATGGTTGGGAAAATGAAGGGGAATTTCAGTCAGTACTAGCTTTCCACCATGTCCTTTTAAGATCCTCCAGTTTAAAGAAATATGGACAAGAAGCTGACCATTAGGACAGAATATGGAGAGACAGAATGGTTTTCTGTAGGCAAAGGTGCCAGACAAAGGTGCATTTTATCCCCTTATCTATTCAGTCTGTTCACAGAACATGTAAAGAAAGCTCAGCACCACTGTTAGGTGAACCCACCAGAGCACAGTAACAGTGATGAACCTGCATTTTGCCGATTTTCCCCTTAAACCTCGAACCAGTTCTACAAGAGGACACAGTAAAGTTGAAAGGAATTATTTTGCTACCTTCATCAGGTCCTTCAAAAAGAGCCATTGCTGACCACTTCTAATGAAAAGCAATGTATTTTTAATTATCCTTTTACATATTTAAAAGTGATCAATACTTTCTCATACACAAATGTTGCTGTTTGTTGTTGTTTTGACTTATATATCACCCCATAGTGCTACAGCACTCTCTGGGCAGTTTTTAGCATAAATATGCAAGGAACACTTCGACTCCTAGTGAGCTGGGTACTCCTTTTAGCAACCTTGGAAGGATGGAAGGCTGAGTTAATCTTGAGCTGGCTACCTGAACCCATAAGGTTGTGAGCAGAGGCTTGACTGCAGTACTGCGGTTTAACCACTGTGCCATGAGGCCCCCATATGCATTCAGAAAAATTTAATCAAGTCAGCAGAAAACCTCAGGTGACAAATAAAAGAGGAAATAAAAGGGGGGCCTTCCTCTTTTCCTGCTGCCTTCTATCTTGCCCTGCATTTTTGTCTTTTCCAGAGAATCCTGCCTTCTCATGATTTGCCCAAAGTAGGACAGCTTCATTTTCAACATTTTTGCCTCCAGAGATAGTTCAGGCTTGGTTTGATCAAGGATCTACTTCTTTGTCTTTCTGGCAGTCCAGGATATCCAACAAGCTTTCCTCCAACACCACATTTTCTCAGAGGCTGAGAAAAGGCCCTCCTGGAAGATCTTAAAAATTATGTGGGTTTATGTGTCATCAGCACATTGTTTGTACTGTGGAGACCTTTTCTTGTTAAAAATGCCAAAGAGACATGTTGCAAGGTTTCTATCAGAAAGGCATTTATTTGGCTAGCTAGCCAAGACAGTTTAAAAAACATACGTACACCATAACAAACGCATGTCAAGAAAAGTTAGGCAGTACACAATACGGAGTAAATATGAAGTGGCGGGGAAACAACATATACATTTCTTTGCACTGGTTATAGTAGTACGGTAGTTCTCTTTGTCTCTGCATGAAAAACTGCATTAATGGTTTGGACCCTAGTTACATCACTTTTTCTTTTGCTTCTCACCTGTCCTTTGCAATGTTAAGTGTTTCTTCCATCATCCATCTAGATTTTTCTTTTTGCTATAGTAATTGTCTTTTTGTCTTCTTCCCTGATAATATTTCTGATTTCACTCCATAGTTCTTCTGGTTCATGGTCATTCAATATAAAAATACAAATCTGTCCTTTATGTGGACTTTATATTTATATTAAACTTTAGGTCATATTTTGGCACTACAATTCTATTAGCATTTACTCTAATCATAAGTGTTATAACAATATAATGTTAGAACACACAGCATATTCATTAAACCAGATCATATTTCTTCTTCCTAAGAGCTGAATAGTTGCATATATCAATTTGTTTTTGAAAAGCAAAAATAAATAAATAAATTTTAAAAAACACCTTGCAAATAGTTTCTTTTTATTTTTGAAACCAGGGTTCAGAAATTAGTTATGAAGAACAAATTCACAAACTTGTCGTTGAAAAACAAGAACTTGAGTGGCAAAAGGTTGGTGGTTTTTAAAATAAATACCTATAATTAGGTAGTGGCTTTTATTTATAGGTAAAGGTAAAGGTTCCCCTTGACAATTTTTGTCCAGTCGTGTTCGACTCTAGCCATAGAGCCAGCGTTTTGTCCGAAGACAATCTTCCGTGGTCACATGGCCAGTGCGACTTAGACACGGAACGCTGTTACCTTCCCACCGAGGTGGTCCCTATTTATCTACTTGCATTTGCATGCTTTCGAACCGCTAGGTTGGCGGGAGCTGGGACAAGCGACGGGCGCTCACTCCGTCCCGTGGATTCGATCTTACGACTGCTTGGTCTTCTGACCCTGCAGCACAGGCTTCTGTGGTTTAGCCCACAGCGCCACCACGTCCCTTATTTATTTATAGTCCCTTATTTATTTATAGTCCCTTTTATTTATAGTTTAAGGAATATTGAAATCTAATTTCTGATCAGGTTGGCACATTTATATAAAAAGGGAAAAAAAGCAATGTGGTCCTTGTTCATAATCCAAAGGCAAGAGCTGGTTACAGACTACTTAAAGCCACAAACATTAGCTAGCTTTTGAACCCATGAAGTTCTTCATCAGGCTATGCACCAAAGAACAGCACCCCAGCTGACCCCTTCTCCTGGCTTGGCAGCTCCCTGTGGTGGCTGGGGTGATTGCTGGGGTATACAAGAAGGCAGTCAGGGGAGGCCACAAGGATGTGCTACTCCATTGGGGGAAGGAGAGGAGAGATCTATTGGTTGAAAGAATTGCTTTAATGTTATAATGTAACAAATAATCTGTAGTCTAATGATTCTGCAATAATTATTTCTAAAATCAAGATTAAAAAGCATAAAATAGAAATCTTTTCTTAATGTATTTGCGATATTTTATGCTTAAGAAAATGATTTATAGTCATATTTAGAAATCCTTTGTGCTGTTCTGTAATTTAAATTGCTTTTAACTAATAGGAAGCTCTTCAGCAGCAGAAAGAGGTGTTAAACAGACAGCATACAGAAGCCATGGCAGCCTTTAAAAAACAGGTAGTACACTAAAACTTTTTTTTCACAGCACCAGTAATTATGCTTATGTGCCAGTAGTAAATCGTATACATATAGAAAATGATGTTCAAATTCATACCACCAGTTAAACTAAATGTTCGTGTTTGAAAGCTGCTTTACTTTGCATTTTATATTCTTACCTTGGGGTATGTTTCATTGAGCTCATAGGGGAGCTTAACTTCTGCATAATCTCATTGCCAAATTCAGCTATATCGGACAAAGTTTTGCATTGGGGAATAAATTTTCTAGTTAAAAAACAACATATGAGCTGAGCATTTCCGTGCTAGGAAGGGAGAGGGTAGGAGTCCAGATACATATGTTAAGCAAATAAAAAAGTATGAAGGTTATTGTTGTCATTGCTATGCTATTTTCCATTTCTTTTTTTCTTCAGGAATGTATTTTCTTTTAACAACAAGTTAAAACAAGCTGGGGGGGGAATCAGGGCCAAACTAGATGAGATGTCAGCTTTACAGTTAGAAGATGATAAAATATTATATCTTCAGATAAACATTCTTCAAAAATGGAATGTTTACACTGTCAACATGCAAATGAAGCCTCTTGTTTACCGCCAGTGAAGAAATCACAGAACAGTGAATGGAACTGGTAAAACCAAGCCTTAAATATCTCACTGGCCTTGAAAGCTCTATGAGGGTTGCTGTAAGTCAGCTCTGATTTGATTGCGTACATAACAGTAATGTACATTAGTCAGGAGAAAACTGATTTGAGAAATATGACTTCCCCACAAATGATACATGTTTTCCTGGAAAGATATCCAGATTCCTCAGAGCTACTGAGTAGTAATTTCACATTCTAAAATGACTGAAACAGTATTCCAAAACTTCTGCTATGTTTTTCCTCTCAAATATTATTATCTAGATAGGTGTGACTACATAGGGATTTTCCCTGCAGCTTGGTTTGATCTCAGGATTGGCTCTTGTTGTTTTTCTCCCTATGACTAAATTATGTAAGTGGCAGCATGAACCAGCCCGTTCTCAGAGCATAACTCTCTGCAGCTTTTTGGGTCTTTGTCAGGGGCTACTCATTTTACGTGTGTGTAGAATTGCTCTGTTTTGATTTGGTTCCAGCATGCATGATCACTGGGATTAAACCAAAGTGGGTGACTGGCTGTCCCTTTGCTGAACCTACAAATGATCTTTGAAAATGGGAAGTTTTCTTGCTGCCTGCCTTTGGAGGACAGGGGAGAGGAAGTTTTGCTTTTCTTTTTAAGTTTTGTTAATACATCAGCCATGCTGTGAAAGGGCTTTTAAAAAAACCCTCTCAAACAATCACTGATGTGCTGTGTCGGTTTGCAAGAATTAAAAAGAAGTGCAAAACTTCCTCTCCTTTTCCCTCTAAAGATGTGCAGCAAGGATTTCTGTGTCTCAAGATTGTTAAGCAGCTTCTTCCTCTGTGGTTTTTTTAAACCACTTAATGATCTTGAGAAATGAGAAGCCTTCCCTTTCAAGGGGAAAAAGCCTTGATTGCGATAAACAGTGTAATTTGGGTCCTTGCACGTGAATGCAAGGATCTCCCCAAACGACATGATAGTTTAGCATATAAGCCGGGATAATTTGGCCATGTACTGTAGTTGTACCTTTAAATACATGTTATCTAGCTGTGGTGACTTGCCAGTTCTTGATAAATACAACTTTTTTTCATATGTAGAACTGGAAAAATTGACATTTGCTCTGCATTTCTTCATGAAAACTGACAAGAGGCAATTAATATACTGTTTTATAGTAATCTTTTTGCCACACTTGGTATAATAAAAGGGGCAGAAGCAGAAATCCAGAAGGATTTTATTAGTGTGTGAAGGGTATTGCTTGATAATACACTGGCACTAAGCAGCTTGTATCACTGTCATTTTTCATTCAGTGGGGAAAAAAAATTACTTATACAATAGGTTTTTTTTAAAAATCAGTTTTTGACAAACCTTTTCAGGAAAGCTATTTTTGATTCTAAAGGTAAAGAAAATATTTACATGCAACGATAAATTACAAAATGCTAACTATTTTAAAAGCTTCATTTTTCAAGTTTTTTATTAGCAAATTCAGAAATGACTCAAAATACCTGTATACTTCTTTCAGAAGATCCCATTCTGTGAATAGATAATGACAGTCATCACCAAGGTTCCCTCTACAGTGCACAGCTGCATGAGTGCATGCAAGTCCACCACCCTTTGCACAGTACTCCTCCTCCTCCATGCACCACAGTGATTGTTTCCAACCCCTTTGGTTCTGGTTGCAATGGAATCTCGTGGAGGTGGTGGAGTTGCATGCATGAATGCTAGGTTCAAACCAAAGTGAAGCTTCCTGCTTTAAAGATTTCCAGCTGGCTTCAATTGCCAATATCATTAGAGGCTTAAACAAACAGCCTAACCATGTAATGATATTGGGAAAATTGGAAATTAAAACCTTCCTTCCTCTGCTTCTCTGTGGAGCAGACGGAAGAAGCAACTTTTTAAAAGCTAATTAGGGTAGCACCAATGTGTTTCAGTGTTTAGAGAAAAACAAAACAAAACTGGAAGCTTTCTTTGCTTTTCTTAAAGGAGGCAGACCAATTAGGGTCAATTTAGGTGTGTATTCCATGCAGATGCAAAGATCACACTACATGACATATATCTGTACCCAACCTTAAGTGACTCTATTTGGCCCGCAACAGGCTTCTCCAAATGAGCTGTATAGCCATCCCTGTGTCACCAGCCATACTGCTTAGGGAGTTGGATTTAACATCCCAAAAAGAGGCACTTTTTCAAGCTGTGATTTCGGGAAAGAAAAGTGGATAAAAAAAGTTATCCCATGGGATAGCAGAATGGTCTTACTCCTACATAAGTGAGCACAGGATAGAGACTTTAATTTTGTCATCCTCTGTTGTTTTCTGGGTTCCAATGTATTTCCGTAGAGAGGGAGCCATCAACAGACATGATGAACCTCTGGCTCCACGGCTGGATACCTAAACCACTCAACTATCCAGCAGTTCATTAATTACATTATGCCATCTAGTTAGCATACATATGTGTGTGTGCATGCATATGTATACACCTCCCCTTCCTTGCCTAAAATGTTGCATAGGTAGTTTCATCAATATTATTTAAATAGATGTCCTCCTTTTTACATTCAAGTTTCAAGCAAGGATGTTTGCTATGGAAGAAGAAAAGGTAAGTCATAAACAGTTACATGATTTATCTGTTCAATCAATGAATAGTTTAAGACCCAAATTTGTTTAAATGGAAATTCATATACTGTATTGTATGTGTGTGTTTGTTGAGTGTGTTCAGTTCTTCCTTTAGGGCAGTGGCCCCCAATCTTTTCCCAGCTGTAGACTGGTTGGGGTGGGGTCTGTGGGGGAGCAGGGTGTTTGCTTGCAGAGGCGTGCTGATGGGCAGGTGATGGGGGTGTTCTCGTGGGGGGCAGTGGCGTGCTTGTGTGCATGCCTGGGGAGGCAGGGGCATGCTCACAGGGGACGGGGTATGTTCGTGAGGGGCAGGGCGCACTGGTGTGCATATGTGGGGAGCGGGACCTGCTCACATGCATGCGTGGGGGGCAGAAGGAGTGCATGCAGGGGCAGTAAATCTGTCTTCATGGCCTGGTCCTGCCAGGGCCACGGCTCTCTACTAGGCCGCGGACATGGGGTTGGGGGACTCCTGCTTTAGAGCATCAGCTCCACAAAAGCAATAGAAAATCTCCCACCAAAGGCTAACGTTTCTTCAGAAAATGGGATGCATGGGGCTGCTGACAGAAGGCAATGGCGCTGAGCTGTGTACTAGAGTTGGACAAATTGTAAATTTTGCATCAAATCACCCTCGTAAAGTCTGATTGGTATAGGGTCCAGACTGATGTGGAATGGTTTGATTTAATTCTGGGGAGAACCAAATTACAGAATGGTTTGAGTCTAGAACACAGCCTTAATTGGATTCGGCACAGATTGCTTCTGCTTTTTTAACAAGTTAAAGGAACCCAGTACACAAACCTCTCAAGCTGTAGCATCTATCATGTTTCCACATTTCATGAGCATCAGGGCAAAAAGAAGTGTAGTAAATGTCATAATAGCTGCAGATATGTGCTTGACTGTTTGAGTCATGTAATAAGTTATGCAGATAATTTTGAGAAGTGAGCGAATGAGTACAGATTTTGAAGCAGAATGCACTAAAAGTATTTCTGATGAAATATAGATTTTAAAACTGCAAACATGGCTGTGAAGCAAATAAACATTTTATGCCTAGAGAAAAATGTTGTTAGCTCATTTCACTTATGAAATACCCAGCAGTATATCCTTGCACAGGCTTGGAAACCCTTCATCTGCTCACACAATTGGCCAGTTGTGTGACTGGAAGGAACAAACAGGATTCTGCTTCTAGTCAGAAGTGAATGTTTGTCCCATGTTTCATAGAGATACTCTAAGATAATGGCCAGAATCCTGTTGGTGATTTACAGGTGTGTAAGTTAAATTCTCGTAACTCACTAACAAGATGCAGGTCACATTACTGGATACGTGCCTTTGACACAGTCAGGTATATGCCTGATAACATGACCAGTATTCACAATGAACTTATTCTTCAGTCTCTTAAATAAGACATGTATTTATTCTTATAAAAGTTCCTGTTTCTTTGAAGGGAAAGTTTCTGCTTGCCAAAGAAGCAAAAGAAAGAGAAACAGAGGGTTTAAAGGAAACATTAAAAAAACTACAGGTAAATTGACATTGTATATACTGCATAGTTTATTCGGGGGAGCTCTGAGGCAGTATGGTGTTCATGCAACAGCCAGGACAATTTGTGCTTAGCTAAGACAATAAATCATGCTCCTCTTAATTATTTGATGATGAGCAATTAGCAATTAACCATTGAGGAGCATTTAGTGCATCCCCTTCTGCTCATCTCAGCCAAAATGATTGGGAAATCAAACTTTAATTAATGTGGGCTTGATAAATGACTGATTGGATTCTTAAAATGGTTAACAGCACACAAGAAGCAGAAGTGAAAGGTGACAGAAATAGAGTTAAAATCCTAAATGCAAATTTTCAGTGACTTGTTAATTATTATTATAATATTATTATAATTGCAAAGAAATAGAATAATGTTAATTGTGTGCCATCAAGCCAATTTGGTCTTACTGCAACTTTTTTCAGGATTTTCTAGGTATAAAGTATTCATAGGTGGCTTACCATTCCCTTCCTTTCAGGGATTCTTGGACTGTGCAGTTTGCCCAAGACCACCTAACTGGGCTTTTCTGGGATGCACAGTGGAAAGAGGACAACAGCAACAAAAAAGAAAACACAAAGCTATCCAAGAAATTGAAGTGAATTTTACTTACTGCAACTCTTTTCAGGATTTTCTAGCTATAAAGTATTCATAGGTGGCTTACCATTCCCTTCCTTTCAGGGATTCTTGGACTGTGCAGTTTGCCCAAGACCACCTAACTGGGCTTTTCTGGGATGCACAGTGGAAAGAGGACAACAGCAACAAAAAAGAAAACACAAAGCTATCCAAGAAATTGAAGTGAATTTTAATCCATGGTTAGGGAGGCTGAAAGGTCAACCAGGGGGACTTGCAGCCCAAATGAACCCCAGCTTTTTCTTCCACTTTTGGGGAAGGCTTGCTGGCTGAGGTGTGTGTGTAACAAAACAGAAGACAGAGTGAATCTTAGTAATTAAGCAATAAACTTTATTGCTTTTGAAGGCAAAGAATCACTAACACACACAGTACATGTGTAAAGTGGGTCTCCCCAACAGCACAATCATAGGAAAGAGCTGGGTTTTCATTGACTTGCTTTCACCTTGCTTTGTAAAAATGTAGCTTCTAGATCACAGGATTTTTCTTCAAAGGAATCTGTCATCTTTACAACTTTTTTGTATAGGTTTTCAGTTTATTGTTTCTTTCTTTTGTTTATTTTGTCGTAGGCAGATATGTTCCAATACTGGTTTTTCATCATCCCTATTTGAGGTTTAAATTTACTTTTCCATTCAACTTGTTTTTCCTCTTTTTTAAAAAAAACACACTGCTCACCATAATAGTTTATTTTGGCCCTATGTGACAGTTGCTGGAAGGTTACATTGAGGGTTCTGACTTATTTAAGACTCCTCTTTTGCTTTTCATCTATCGTCAAATCTCTTTTTGCATTTTTCACTGATAATATCAAAAGCAAGGACATTTAGACCGTAGATCAACCCATCATCATTCGAGTCAAATCATGGAAACAATGTTGTACTCTTCTTGTATTTTAGCTGGCTGGATAGCTCAATCTGTTCTCTGTCCAGCTCCTTGATTTTGCTGATTTTGGGACTGCCTCTTTGCCTCGGCCTGCTGGAGACGTGTCTCTTCAAAATGGGAGAGGCCATGATGCCCCGCCTGCCTCCAGGCTGAATGCTCAGATGTCAACCTTTCCCATCTATTGAGGTCCGTTCCTAAGGCTTTCAGATCCCGCTTGCAGATATCCTTGTATTGCAGCTGTGGTCTCCCCCTGGGGTGCTTTCCCTGCACTAATTCTCCATACAGGAGATCTTTTGGAATCCAATCGTCAGCCATTCTCATGACATGCCCAAGCCATATTATGTGCCCCACCGTTATTATATATTTACACACTTTTGTGTAGTTGCTTAAAGACACAGCATCAGAGTACTAAGAATTTTATCAGTATTTTATTGTAGTTCTTCTGGATCCTTTAGTTATTTAATAGTGTCTTTTCTTCAATAAAAGTAGAAAATGTTATCTGTTGTTAAATCTGTGCTGATTAGTTTATGCTCATTAACTTTATAAATAGCTTGGTTATTTTGATGTTATTCTCTGTTTAATTATCAGGTTAATGTTGAGATTATTGTAAAAGCAAATTCCTTCACATTGCTGACCTTCTGTGCAAAAGGCTGAAAGGATTTGTTATGCCCTGCTCAATTCATGACACAACACAAGTGATATATAGTGTACCTCATGGTTGGCTGAACTTGATACATGAAGGGAAAGTAATAAATGCTCCTTTGCTTTTTCTAAGTAAGATAAACTTTGGGAGTGAGGAACTCATCCTGTGATGGAATCTGATTTAAACACAGCATAAGAAGGGCTTTCCGAGAGACAGTTCGGAATAAAGTTCTGATTGAAGTTGCACTAATAGCAAGTGACAGCAACCTGCAGGAACAGAACACCAAAGCTACAATCTACCAGTAGAAAACACATGAGACATCCCCTTCTCTGAAGGTTGAAAGTCTTATATATATTCCAGTGATAAACTACTCCTAGTAGTAGTAGTTTGTCTGGAAGTCCAAGTTGTCCACCTCTACTTTCAGTGTTTTGCATGGAAAATTTTGAAGCAGCTTTGTCCCCCCGGCAATAACGTGAATGTATAAAAAAGTCCTATAATCTGGAGTACACTTTTTGTGATATACTGATTTCTAAGTGAGACCAGACTGTTAACGTAATTGTTGTAAGCCTCCCAGAGACCTTTGGGTAGAGTGGGCGGCATATAGGTTTAATAAATAAATAAATAAATAAATAAACAAACAAACAAACAAACAAACAAACAAACAAATAAATAAATAAATAAATAAATAAATAAATTGAGACAGAAAAGCTAATAAAAGGAAGTGCAATTAGGAGAGCATCATGAACTAATGAAGAGAGTAAAGAAAACCAGCATTTCTAATAGTAGACATACTGCCATATATTAAAAAACCAGCCTCATTTCTGACACTGCTACCTCCATCTCAGACAGGTATTGGAATTTTAGAAAGACTAGCAACATTCCCATGTTCTAGTGTTCAAAATATGTGTGGCCTTCTCTGCACATTGTACAAATCATACACATTAATATTTGCATTCTCCACCACCACCTCACCAAGTATGTTTAATCTTTAATACCATTTATATAGCAAACACTGATCTGAAAAAGACAGTATAATGTCAGCATTCAGGTACAATCTTTGGAACCAGGAACCAAGCCTCACCCAGTCACAAGGCTTACTCAGTTTCCCTTAGCCAGTTAGTATCTTACCCCAGACTACCATACAGGGTTGCTGTTGGCATAAATTGGTATAGCAAAACCAAGTAAAGTTGCCATATACTGTATATATTATTAGTGCATAAAAGTAAATAAATAATAACATTTTGTCATGCATAATGGCTTCTGGTGATACCCTCCTCAGATTACTTTCATTCTTCGTCATCAGTTTCTGTTGATAGCAAAAAATCTTTATATATCCATGAAAACAGCATAGGAATTCCTCAGAAATGACTGTCATCTGGTTTGCAGGAAAAATGTAGAAGGAGAGACCAAACCTCAAGAATCACAAGGATTCTTATCAATCATAACGTGTTATTTTCTTCAGAGAGACAGATTAAATATTTTATTATTGCTGGAAAATATTCTGGGTTAAGTTTCTTTGCCTAATTTGACATTTCACCACAATAGATATATAAACCAACTCATGTGCACTAGAACGTCTAGGCCACCACCTAACCACTATTTGCTAATTATCACATTTAAGGTAATGATCAGTGCCCTGCTCTGCTGACTATACCCTCCCGAACAAACATGAAGCAATCCTATGCAAACTTGACAGATATAGGCTGCAATCCCAGAAAATTTATGACAAACAAAACTTGCCAGCTTTTACAGTGTGTGAGGCTCTCTGTTGTTTTTGCTGACAATACACTAACACAGATAGCCTCCTGAGAGTGTTGAAGTTTCTTTGTTTATGAAATCTATATGTGTCAAAATCAGTGCCAATCCGATGAGACAAAAGAATCCTTAAAAATACGCCTCCATGGGTTGCTTCCACTTTTTCTCTATATAAACATTTTTATATCACCACAGCAAACTTATGCTGTTTTGTTTCACTGCTGTTGGCTATATTGTGGTGCAGAATGAGATGCTCAAAAGTGCTTGGAAAAGGTTTCGTTTTTTAATTTCCACAATAGCCAACATCTGGCCTAGACGGCATGGGGGATCATTAGGATTGTAATTCAAGAAAGTAACTTTCTCAGTCTTTCATTCCTAATAGGTACAAGTATCTCAATCACCCATGCATAATTACTCAGATGGAATGTAAGACATGACATTCCACCTGAGCAGATATACCATATTACTCAGAATTCAGAAATAGTCTTTCTGAAAGGATATTATCATTTTCTTGTTATTTTTGAAATGTCTTTCCAGGATCTAAGATTCACAGGAAACATAAGTACAAATGTTATCTATTTTCTCTCTCCTTTCTCTTTAAAATTCTATAGCACCTTAAATACTAAAATGTACTAAAATTATTCACATTTTGATCCTCCTTTGCACAACTGTGCTTGTTCATTTGATTTTGTTGCTTCCTAAGTTTGTAAAGCTACTTCAGAAGCTAGAACAAAGCTTTCCCCAAACAGCAATATTTACTTGGGAAGTTAGAAAATATTATGGTTGACTAAGCACACAGAAGATTTATCTATCAGTTCCAAAATAAGAAAATTACAGTTAATTGATAACTGAGTGAAAAAAATCCATGGATTATACTTTGAAAGCTCATATAGACTTTTTGTTTTGTTATTTCAGATTTCAAAATACACTTTACAAAAGAAGCTTAATGAAATGGTAAGAAATCATGTCAACTATAAAAAGGTTGAATGTTAGGAAGGAGAGTTTATGCTCACACACCGGATTGTTTCATGAGCTATTTATGGTGTAAGACCTCAGGGACTGAGCCAAATATTGGTGTGTGCGCACATGTGCGCACGTCTTACGCCAACGGCTTATAAAGCAAAAAAAGCAAAAAAACTGCTTATAACTAATAATTCTAACAATTTTTCAATTATGAATAGAGATAATTATCTATATTCAAATGACTGGGTGTGTACGGAAGTAGTAGAACTGTGCATCTAAATTTACCTTAATACTTGAAAGTTTGTGTTAATAAATCTGGAATTTTAAATTTTGGATAGTGTCCTTTTGCATAGTGTCAATGTTGTTTGTTAGTATAATATATGTTTTTGCAAGCAGTTAAAGCTATGTGAGTTGGGAGGAGTGTCTATTTTCTGTTTCTGAAGACTGTTATTTATAATTAAAATGACATCTGCTTTTTCTGCATTCTATATTGTTTTTTTTAAATTTTATGACAAAGACATAAGGAAGAAAGCAGTGTGTTCCTGTTCTTCCAATGCAACACAGAAAATAAGAGTGCCACTTCTGTTTTTTCACTCTAGCTGGAAATTAAAAGGAGATGTTAAGATGGTGCTAGGCTTGATTGACTAAAAGCTGTGAAAATTCTGCTGCTGCTCAACTGGAAAGAATAAAGATAATATTGTCAGACCATTATAAACGGTTATTTTAATTAAGAAGCTCAAAAACTAGAGTCCAGTTAGCCTTAAGTACCATGACATTTGTACTGAAAGTCATCTTCAACGGTACAGTGATTTTACACAAAATATGGTGAAATTGAATAATGTGTCCTTTGACCTGGGAGATAAGGCTACAAGTTGAAGATCAAAGGCAACATAAAATCTGTTTTAGCTCTTTCACTTTTAGCAGTGTAATCCTATGCATCTCTAAATCTTACTGAATTCAACAGGATTTAGACCCAGATTAAAGGTGTGTATAGGATTGCAGCCTCTCTTAGATACATTATGTATTGTGTAAACTGCTTTATAAAAACACTGGTTGTGTTGCTTGTTTAACAGTATTGTAAGAGTTCCATTATTTGCAGCAAGTGCAATTTTTCATGATTATATAATTTTAACAAAATAAGACTTCTACCTTACTTTATTTGATTTGAATAGAATATGTCAGATGCACTGCAAATTTAGCTTTTTATTGGTAATTTCATAGTATTTTAGGAACCTAGTGGTAAAGAGCTGAAATGTTTGACATTTACCAGAAATCTCAAGGCCAGGCCATTACTTTGGCTAATTATAAAATCTGATCCTGATTTTTGTCTTTTATTGGTAAATGTTTGCCATGACATACTAACAGATATAGAAAAGTAATTTTTCACATGGTTTTGGACATTTGTCAATTCCTAAGAGACACCAAATCCCATCATCGAATTAACCAATTTCTTTAATGTGAAATTTCGGCACAGTGCATGGAAATGATGCTTATTGTGATGAAATTAGTACTTCTGCAGATTTTTGGTTTTGCAAATATTAATTCTCCAAAGGCGCTGCAAATTAATACGTTTATTTATTTCAGCAAACCACTACTAGTTTTCTTCATTACGCTTCTCTGTTTCTTTGTACTAAGGATGCACTGAATGGTTGAGAAGACATCCACTTTAAAAGGGGGTGTTTTGAGTTATTTGTGAGGAGTAATACTTTGCAGGGGGAACAGAATTGAAACCATTTTGTTATCAGAGAGTCATTTTCTGATTTCTCACATGCCTTTTGGAAATTCAAAATAAAAATGGCTGCCTCATTTGCCTATTGCAGGCTGATTAAAGTAAGCAGCAGCTGAATACTCACAGAAGAGCATTCGTGTTCGCAGTACAGACAGTTAGCATCCCAAGTAGTTAATTTTATTTAAGAGAATAAAACTTTGTCATGATTGAAGCAGGCTTATGTATGAAGTGACCATATCTGAAATACCAGGAAAAACCTGGTTTTGTTCTTGAACTTTTTTTTAAATAGAAATTTCCTGATCCTTCCTCCCACAAAGTTTTTATTAAAAAGCTGAACCAAAGGGTTAAATGGCATATCGAAACAATTGTTCTTCTTCCTCCCCACACTTTCCCATCTGCCACCAATGGATTGAAGAATCCTTGTAGCCTCTGAAAGAAGATTGTGCTCTTAGCAACCTTTCTAACAAGATGATGATGGCCACGACAGTCAATGTTTTGGCCAAGAAGCATGTCTGGCTTTGATTCCAGGACATGGATCTAGGATCTCAGGCCAGATTGGCCAGCTCAGTTTTCAAAAGGCTGCAGTACAGTATTTAGTGAGGCAACCCTTAGTGAAATTCAGGATACAAAGCAGGATTTTCTCACAGCTAAGAAGGAATAATGTAAGCCAAGCTTTTAGTTTTCATTTGGAAATGAGAAGCAAATCTCACAAGCTTATCTGCTAAGTGGTTACAGATCCAGCTGACTAAGGGAGCAACTGCGTTGGCCATGTACCGTGCAATTGGCAGTGATGAATTTGAATTGAAACCTGGCAACTACACAAAATAAAGCTCAATGTGGGAAACCCATTGTGAAATTGTCTCTTTTTAGTAGGGAATTGTCTCTTTTTGTTCAGTCACCAGGGGTTGTTTATATATTTTCTGATCCAGTTGACATCACTTTTGTCTGCTTTCTTCCAGTGGGATTGCCTGATCCAAAGCCAAAGGGGTGCTCACAGAGCTGTTATCTGCAAACAGTATTTTTTTTAAAAAAAATGCTTTCAAGGCAGTGCTGTAATAATGCATCACTAGGTGAAGTAATGCATTATTTCAGGAAAAGTAAATACGTATAAAAAGAGATGGAAATTAGTTATTAATACCTTGTCAAAAACAGTGTCTGCTGTGCAAATACACCTCTCTCTTGCTTCTGCTCCTGCCCCTGCTGATTCCTGCAAATTGCTCGATGTCTGGACAGAATAATTTCACCTGTGGAAACTCTGTTTGAAAAAAAATATGGATCATAGTGAATCCAAGCATATTTCCCCGCTGTGTTGTCACACTTTAAGAAGTTACCCTTGCTCATAGGAATCTGTTGGTGTCACCTCATGTCTTCTAAATACATTCATAGTGACAAAACTCTATTACCTGCCCACCACAGAGGTTGTTGGGGTTAGAAGACTCTTCTTCATATGCCGCTTCAGTGCCCAATAGGCTCACTTCTTATGTTTACCTTGCAAGTTGCAGAGGAAAAGATACATGGAGGGGTAATATTATTTATGCTTTGCATATTCAGGCTGATAATTGCTACCTGAAATTTAGAATAGTCAATAACCTTGCCCTTCAGATTGTTGGGGGTGGGTGATTATCAGAGTGACATTGACTCCACAGATTCTAGAAACTGGCTTCGGTGTTGCCATAGAAATTAACCTGACTATGTGTGGGAAATGAAAAAAACATGAAGAAACTTATTATCCTTTTATTTTGTGTTCAGTGTACCTCTGTTCCCTTACAGAGAAAGCAGAAGTATTTTTTTTAAAATGTCCAAGCACACTTCAGAAGCAGTACACCTGTTCAGTGTGCTTGGGAACACAAAAACCCACGAAACTAGTTAATCTTAACAATAAGACTTATGCTTTCTCTTTTGTTACAAAAGACTGAGATTGCTACCAGCTAGATTAATTCTTCCTTTATAAACTACTGGGGGCACAACTGAGATTTTGGGCAAGAGCATTTTAAATGCAGATGAATAATCAGAGTCCTTCCTCCAACATATTTATTGCAGGAAACACATACTGGTATCAAAGTTTTTCAAGTTTGTTTTTGTTGTTCCTGTTTCTACATATTTTCCTTGTTGGGATGTTTTCATCATGATAAATTTCATGGATATTTCCTGCATCAGAACTCTGTGTGTACTTGTTGCTGCATATAGTGTAAAGTTTTAAGAAAGAGAAATGCCGTAACCTTACTGGTTAGTGTACCATGCCCAGTTGTTTCAGAGAACAGGAACTGCTAGCATAAGAACAAAGATAAGCAGGGCTAGCTGAGAGCCAAGGGAATGGTAGAACAATAAATGCAAGGGAACAGTTTAGAGGTCATTTTGACCATAGTTTGTTGATTAATTAACACAGTGATATTAATACAATTCTAAGCAAGAAGCCATACTTGTTTTTCAGAAGCTTATTATTTATGATTCTTGGTCAAGACTTGATATTACCAAAAATATATCAAAATTGGATCTACACAATGGCTAAAATCCAGTAGTAAGTACTAACTAGTAGGGATATGGTAAAGTCAACTCCCCTATGAGTTCCACTTATTCAATGGGCCTACTCTAGTTGATGACCTACCACTGGATTTCAGCCATTCAGTTACCATGCACCAATGAACACTTGCATTGCTAGACTCTGAAACTTCTTCCTGCAGTACATCTCCAGTCATGCATGGCTCCAAATATATGTGCATCTGAGATAACCATTCTACCTTTCAGTAAAAATTCTCAAGATGGTATCCAATAGAGCTGTTAGAAAGCATTAAAAAGAATAAAACATCAGAAACGGACATTTCAATTCAGCAGAGTTAATAAAGTCATAATCAACCAAGCCTAGCTGATATATATGGTCAAACATCCAAACAAGTAAAACATCTGGCATCAAATGTTGTCAAAATCAGTGCTAAACAAGATTATCTGCGGAAAGATTTTCTACAGAGAGAACTTGACATCTGAACATGCTTTGTCCCCAGTTATAGTCCCCCTAATTTCAGATGGCATGTGAACATGAATAACTCAGATTCCAATTGCAAAATTTATGTAGGCCTGTGTGGCTTAGGTCTCAGCCATAGGTTGGGAGTTCAATTCCCCGCTGTATCTGCATGACAGGAATTGCACTCGAGTTCTAAGATGATCATGATATTGAGGATTATACAGTATGTTCCTTCTAGTCATTATTGCTAACCTTGTTTTGACAACTTATTTTGCTAATTTCAGGGAATGTATATATGTCATTCATTGGTATTAATCTATCAATAACAAATTCTTAAAATAAAATGCTGACTGGCAAGCAGCTGTATTATATTTGTCTCTTTGATTTAATTTTGTAGGGGGGGTTGTGTTTGTTTTGTTAACATAGTATTAATGTACATGGATTTCCAGGTATGTTTTGTTTTTATTTAGAAAAGAAAGAAGAATTGCATAAATATATGCTTAATATATTTATTAATATTTATTAAAATATAGTTAATGAGCTGCTGAAGTAATTTTTTGCAGATTCAATGGATCTTGACAGTAAATCTTTATTGCATACTTGCAATCGTTCTGTTGAAATCAGTGGGACTAGGCTCCATCTAGAACAGATTGTTACTTTCTACAGTTTTCTTTCTGTAATGGGGAAAAATGACATATCTCAAGAAATCTCTTAATCTTTGCCATTGGGATCCTGTATTGTCCTAGCTAGTGCAAGGTATTGTTTCTCCAATAAAATCTGGTTTAAATACCCTTCTGGCATCCTGCACACATTTTGAGGTATTTTAATACACTAGCATTTAGATTGCTGCAGTAAAACATCCTCAAATCAAGTTTAATTATTGTTTGCTTTGAGGTGGAGTTAAATGGAAATTAGACATTTTGTTCAGGATGGCTGTATCTGTGGCTATTACTCATGATAGCTAAATGGAATTTCTAGATTATAAAGAAGTACAGTGGTGCCTTGACTTACAAGCATCCCTACTTATGACCATGTTGAGTTATGGCCAGCTCCGGCCACAAAATTTTGCTTTGACGTGTGGCCGGAGCTTCCAGTTACAATCACAAAAAAAGGCAGGAGTAAAAGGCGGGAAATTCTAATTGCTAACTGTTGGTGGCAAAGAGGCTGCTTCTTTGTAGCTCTTTCGCCCTAGCAGTTAGAGAGTGTGCGATCAGAGGAGGCTGCCTGGTAAGTTAAAGTGCTGTTTTCTGCTTTTAAAAAACTGTTCTGGTGGGTTTTACAGCATGTATTTGGGCTGGAGTGGTATGTTTCTGTGCTGTGTTTTTTGTTTTTTGATTATTATTATTATTTTTTGCAGCCCCAGTGCCTTCGGGGCTTGCCTTGCTGTTTATTTTTGTTCTTTTGTTTTTTAAAGCCCAGCGAGGGAGGTTGCTCTGCTGTTTATTTTTGGTTTGTTGTTGTTTTTTTAAAGCCCCAGCGCCTTCCGACCAGGCTTGCTGTGTGTTTTTTATTGGTTTTTGCTGGAACGGATTAATTGTATTCCAATGCATTTCAATGGGAAATGGTGCTTCAACTTATATTTCGAGTTATGTCCATCTTCTGGAACGGATTATGGTTGTAAGTCAAGGCACCACTGTATTTGTCTGAAGATCAACCAATGAGCTAGTGGGTGGGGAGAGGAAAAAGAGAGGGCAAGCTGCCTTTGTATGCTGTTAACCTTCTAGATTCATTTGGCTACTTATTCCAGAAACAGGATGGTGGGTGGCTGGAGAAAACTTTTCTTCTTATGGCTGCTGCTGGAGGTTTGCAATTCAAACTTGCTAGTTGTCCTGATTGTTAACCTTGGCAGTGAGAGAAATAGAAAAGTGGGTTTTATTGATTCCCTACAGCTCTCAGTGATTTGTTAGCCATGATATCATTCTTTGTGAAGGAAGCAAGATGAGAATAGGTTTGGCAGTGTTCTACAATGGTTTCTTCCCTGGAAGGTTTGATAAGATGTTGGTAAAGGATGATTGCTCTTCTCTCTGGGATAGCAGCATAATCGTTTGTGTGGTTATTGGGAAACAGTTCAGTGGGACTTTCTCCTGAAGTAAGCAGTATTGTAGCTTTACCTAATTTGTGATATGTTTGCTGATATACCATACTCTAAACTGTCATACCTCTTTCATTTTTGTGCAGGAGCAAAAGCTGCAGTTGCACTTTTTAGCAAAGGAAGACCAGCAGAAGAATATGAATGAATTTGAGAAATGTCATGCAACTATTACGTGTCAGTTTGGAATACTAAGAGGCAGTCATGAGAGATTAGAGCAGAATGGTAAATTATCGAATAAGTATAGGGCATTGCCCAGTTTTGATGTACAAGAGTTGGCAAATACAACAAAGCCCATGGGATTATGGAGCATTCTAAGGTTCAGATAGGTTATTGAAATGGATATATCCTTCACAGAACACCATGCAGTAGTTTCCCTTCACCATAGCAAGTCTTCACTCAGATACTGCTTTATGCATTCTGGAATCTGTATAGATGGTCCAATTAGGAGCAATATGCATATAAGGACCTGGATAGGAAGATCACCAGCGATACATGTCTTGCTATTTCAAGATAAGTGTGGCATTGCTAATATTTGCAGTTTATACTCAAGATAAATGTTGCATGGCCAAGCATAGCATCTTTTAATTGCACTTGGGTAAGACAGATATGTAGCTTTCTGTTAACATCAGCCAGCTCCTGATATGCTTCGGTACATATAGAAAAGAGGCAGGCAATACATGGCCCTCTAAATGCTGTTGGACATCAACTCCTATCTGTCATAATCAGGATAGCCAATACAGATTACATCACCAACATCAGAGGAGCAGCAGAAGTTGCCCAACGTAGACACTTTATCCAATGTCCTCCAGATGTACTTATCCAGCCTTGGATTATATGTTTATTCATTTGTTATTGCTTTTTGAATAAAATTTACTTTTGCATGAACCACATCAGCCCATGTTCCCAAGGGGAGGTGGAATCAATGGTACATATGTTTTTCCATTGCCCCTTTCATCACCCACATAGGGAGAGATTTATCCTGCCATTTTTAGATAGATGAACAGCAGATGCAAATGAGGAGGGTTTGGAAAGACTTGTAAATCATGTAAATTCTTTTATTACTAAACAAATAGCTAAATTTTGTTTATATTTGATTAAATGTCATACTAAGAAGATGGGTTAATTAGAAGGTTCAAATTCTAAATTAAATTTTAAACTTTGAATTTTGAATTCTATGTACATATTCACTTACGTTACCAGGGTATTATCCTATAACTGTCCTAGTTGTATTCCTATGGTTTTATACCTCAATAAAGTTATTCATTCATGATCCACATCAGCCACAATTAGTTGGAAATGTCTATAAATATCTTGTTAAACTTTATTCAAAATAACATTACTACTCTTCCTTTTTTCTGCAACTCACTGAATTACGTCTAAATTTCTGTGAAACATTTATACCTGTACAATTTTGGATCCACAGCTTTATCTGTTATGTCTAAAAAGCAGGAGAGAAAAATAGTAAAACATTCATTTTCTCCTAATTTTAATAATACCAACTAAAGTATCATTTTACATATTGATGTACACAAACTGCATTTTACATAGAAATAGTTCTTAGTTGTTCAGTGTATTTTCACAGTAAATGGTTAGAAAATATTAAATATAGACGGACAGGTTCTATTCAACAAGAAAATAATGTATTCTATATACCAGCTGCTTTTACTGCAGAGGAAATTCATTTTATACTGCAGTAACATTGGTAATCACCATGTTTATCACTTGTACATTCTGAGCATAAAACTACTGTCTCAGGAGAAGTCATGTGGAAGGTCATGTACTGAAAAAGAAATAACTTCCACTCTTCAAACTACTGTTTTTAATTCCTTTGCTTAATCATATGTAAAAATATGCTAGAGTTTTGATCTTATCAAACAGGCTTTTATTCCATATGACACCTTCTGTGGCTAATTTTATCTGAAAAAAAATATTGGTAGGATAAGATTGTGTTTTGGATCAGTTTGTTAATATTCTGAATAGATTCGTGGTGTGTGTGTGTGTATTAATGTATGTGACAATACAGCAGCTGGATGGTGAAATATGCTTTCTAGAGTACATTCCCAAATATGTCAGAGTACATAAACTGTATAGAGGCAATTGGAACATACAAAAGAACCTGTACATGCCAATAAGATTTCATAAAAACGATAACACAAAAATTACTGCCCTTGACTTTTCCAAATGAAATTTCTATACCTGTCCAAGATGTAATTTCCCAATTACAAAATAATTGGAGATAACACATTCTGTATAGGCTGACTTAATTTTGTGGACATTTGAAGCAGGATAATCAAGACAGTATTGTAATAATATTTATTTTATATATCCCCTTAAGTTATGGAAGCAGTCCAACTGAATAAGAAATTGCAAGATGTGAATAAAAGACAAGCATCTGAAATAGATAATCTAAAAAAGGTATATATTGAAAAGCTAGCTAGCTAGCTTGTTTGTTTGTTTGTTTTCATCAGTATGTATTCCACTTCTGCCTGAGATGCAGGGAAATTAATGAGAATTTAAATTAAAGGAAATATAGTAGAACCAATGTTTTCTATTGAATGTATATAAAATATCAAAATATAAAATTACCATATAGCTATTTATTCCTGTGGCCCAAAAAACCGAACTCAAATAAGTACATCTTACAGTACTGTACTTACAGAAGGCATGTGGGCTTAGACTTTGACAAGAAGTGAGTCTGCACGTTTGTGAGACACTCACCACAAATATTTCTGTTGCATCCTTGTTATTTAAACTGGAGGTACTGATCATAAAGTAAACTGTTAATATCAAAAGTGACAGTGGATTAGTAGATCAGAGCCAACAGCTTGAATTGTAACCTCAGAGGCAATGGGAAGAAACTGCAGATTCTGGAGCACATGTTTAATAGGCTCTTGGCAACCTGTCTCTGTAGACGATGGTCTACACCAACTGGTATTTCAGCCCATTGAAACGTGAACGTTAAGTTAGCATGAGCATTCTTTTGCCTTATTCCATATAACAGTTGTTTTAACATTTTAATTTTAGAAGAAGTATCTGTGTTACTCTTTGCTAGGATATCAGTCAAATAAATAAATAAGACAAAAATATTGTGGCACCTTGAAGATTAGCTGCTATATTTTCAGGTGAGCTTTCATGGACAGGGCCATTTTCTCAGACACAAGAGTGGGACTACATGGCAAATATATAACACGAGAGTGGGGTTACATGACTCGCATTAAATATAGCAGTTAGTCTTTAAGGTGGCACAATGTTTTTGTCTTTTTTATTTTGTTTTTGCCTGATATTTTAAAAAAATCGTTGACAATTCCTTCTTCCTGCTTATTAGTGCATAGAAGAAATAAGTTTTTTTTACCCTTTTCAAAGAGTAGGGGATATCATGTTAAGATCTATTCTTTTACAGGCAAGGGAGTGCTAAACTATCTGAAAAACTTTTATTCCTTTTCTCTCTTGACAGAAAAGAGGAATGCCATTTTATTAAGTAAAGAGTTTGGGGGAAGATAGGATAGGCAAGAACTAGCAGAAGCAACACTGTATTTGATGTTTTAACTACTGTGTTAGATGTTTTAAATCAAGTCCCATATTATTTCCCATTTCTGCCCCAGTGTGTGCAACCCATACTGTTGGATGGAACAAGATCTTGGCATCTATAGAGGGGGGAAATTCACATATGGAAACTTGTTTCTCTGTGTAAATCACCTTTTGTTGGATCAGAGCTATTGTTTACAGAGAAATGAATTTTCATTACATTGGTAGCTGTGTTTATGAAACTTGGTATTCATAAAGTTCAGCAGCTCAGATAATCTCTGTTTCTACTCTCCACGGTTACATGATTTTGTCCAGAACAGTTAAACTGTTGGACTGTGATAACGGGGAATTCCATTTTTATGAAGAAAAGTTAAACAGACCAAATTTAGTTTCTCCTAGATAAAACTATTGCCACGCTGAATGCTTGATTCGGTGTTATGGCATCATGAAGAATTCTTGATACTATCTACAAACAGCATTCATAACCTTTGCTATTTGTCTGAGTAAACGTCAGAGCACTCAAGGAGAGAAAGATATTAAACAGGCTACCCCATACAAGAAAGGAAGGGGTAGGGGAACGATGCAATATTTATGACTCCAGGGACTATACACTGTAATTCCATAAGATCAAAGTGTGTAATGTTTATTTGCTGTACTGTATCCTTTGAAGAAAATAGAAGGGCAGTATAGAGCTGAAAAATGCACAACACTTATAGAATGTTGTAATACGTATTTTAAAAATGAAAGCTTTATAAAGGTCTCAAATATATATAGGGCAATATTCTTAATTTTTATAAGAAGTCAGCAGTTAAAACGTTTAGAAATGCAAAGTCTTCCTTCTGTCATGTCTTTTTCCTCTTTAGAATGTAGCAGCTGGGAGAACTTTTGGTATGATTATACAGTTTTCATTTATTTTCTGGTAGTTTTCAGATAAAAAAAATAACAATTGCATTATGAATACGCAGCTTTGGTGAAAACAATGTACAGTAAATCTAAAATAACTCAAAGAATATGTTGTTGATTTCAGAAAGAACATGTTTAATTTTAAAGATCACTTGAAATGTAATTAAACATTATCAAAGTTATATTTAGCACCTTTTATATTGTTGTCCACATAGTTACTTTAAAATGGACACAATTGGAGAAGGAAAATAAATGTACAGTATTGCTTGTTTGGCATTGAAAAGGGTCCTGGATGAACTATTTATGAGTTTTTCCTTATTAAGGAACTAAAAGAAGTTACAGCAAAGATGATAAGATCCAATGTCACTTGTCAGCACAGAGTGGGAGAAGAAAACCTCAAGCGTACAGCAAGGGAGCAAGAGTTACAAGAGCTGCGGCAAAAAAATGCAATGGTATTTCAGAATTAATATTTGTCAGCTAACAGTTCCTCTTATTATTTTACAAAAAGTGACAACCACAACCAAGTTACACTGATAACTTAATAGGATATGATAGTATTTCTTTAAATAGAAGAATATTGTTCAACTACTGTAAATATATCATGTAAATCATTGTTTAATAATTCAGTTTAATAGTTCTCATCTGTTGATTAAGAAAGTTTATAAGTTTTTACATTTTGCAATAGCAATGAATACTTAATATTGTTTAATAATGGTATCCTCATACATTTACTACTCCTTGTACATTAATAGGACATGATCAGTTACCTTTTGCATCCTCCCCATTTCTTCTCACTGTACTGTGCAAATCAGTTTCCTGTTGTCTAATTCTTTCTTGTTTGATCTCTAGAACATGGAGATATGTGTGTGTAGGACATAAACACACGGTCATAAAGGGGCAACTGAATTGGGACCACTGTGCTTATTTCATTCACAGGAGACAGAGTTGAATAGAAAAATCACTGAGGAAAATACACAGCTTAAAGAAGAGAAAGAGGTAATTTAAATTACAATGTTTTTAAACATATTAAATATTGATAATATAAATATGCTGACTGGGTAACTGTAAGATGGAGTCCCTGGCTGTGGAGCCAAGGTTGGGAATTTGATTTCCTACAGTGCTTTCTAGGCAAGGAGCCAACCTCTGTGGTCTTGGGCAAGCTATGTGGTCAAAGAGTGCCTTAGAAGCAGGGAACATCAAACCACTTCTGAATACATTGGTGCCTCACTTAACGAGTGCTTCGTTTAACAACGAATTCGCTTAGCGATGACTTTTTCGGAGCGATCTTGCGCTCTGTTTAACAATGTTCCCTATGGGCGATTTTCACATAGCGATGTTTGGGACCATGCTTCACATAGCAATGACAGTTTGGGTCCCCCTGTTTCGCTTAACGAGGGTTTTGACAGCCTCATGTTGGCTGTTTTTTATATGTTTAAAAATGTTTTAAAAACATTTAGAATGCTTGTTGTAATTTTTTCCCCCCATTGAGATGCATTGAATAGGTTTCAATGCATTTCAATTGGGGAACCGTGTTTTGCTTAGCGATGTTTCCTATGGCAATTTTCGCTTAAGGACGGCAATCCATTCCCATTGGAACAGATTATCCGGTTTTCAATGCATTTCTATGGGAAACCGCATTTCGCTTAGCGATGTTTTCCCATAGCGATGATTTTTTTTTGGAACCAATTAAAATCGTTAAGCGAGGCACCACTGTACTCTATAACTGGAAAACCCTAGAAGGATTTGCCATAAGTCAGAAACTACTTAATGGCATGTTGTTGTTGTTACATATGAAAGAATTCATACATTATACATATTAAGTAACATGTAAAAATAGCATTTTAAATAAAAATACTATATGAAAATACAAATGTTATTATTTGAAATATACATATCTTTGAGCCTTTTTGTTTATTTTGTTCAAGTGTACTTGAACTTGACAATGTCATTCATAGTGGTACACCCAGTTGCCCTTTCACATCATAGCTGTCTAAAGTCCTTTAGCAACTTGACAGCCATGCAGGAGCAGCCAGTGCAACAGAGGACACTCTGTTTGGAGACCCCTAAATTAGAGTATCTCTCATGTTCAAACATGAAGAGAAGAAATGATGCAAAGATTTTATGATGCGGTGAAATCTACCTTGAACTGTTAATAGTGTTCAAGCAGCTTGGTCAAAAAGCTTATGCCAGCTAGGTTAGGCATCCTTCAGTCTCAAAAGTCTATGGTAACATGCTCTGCATGGAGGACTTGGAACAGCGTCTAGTGTGGCTGAGGAGGCCAATTCGAGAGTGACAATCTCTTCCACACTGAAGACAAATCCAATCTGTCCCCTGTCCAGCTCCCTGGTTTTGCTGCTTTTGTGACTTCCTCTTTGCCTTGACATTAAATTAATAATAGACCAATTATGAACCTATGATTTTGCACTTATTTATAAAGCTACTCTTCAAATAATATATTCATTCCTTTTAATCTTAGAATTCCAGTTGCAGCAGTGTGAGAATGCACATGGTGTGAGATAAACCACCATCATTCTGACCTTCATATAATTATGACCAAGCTTGCATTGTATGCTCCTATCTTCATTTTTTTAACATTCCAGATATGGGCAGGAATCTTGTTCAAGTGAAGTGGAATACTCCACTCGTGTGTTTCTGTATGATTTATTGCCTTGACATTGTGCCAGTAGAGATCATCTGTTTGAACAAAGAGGACTTCTGTCTTCGCGAAGGCTTTCACGGTTGGGATCTCATCGTTGTTGTGGGTTTTTCAGGCTCTTTGGCCATGTTCTGAAGGTTGTTCTTCCTAATGTTTTGCCAGTCTCTGTCGGCCACAGAGACTGGTGAAACGTTAGGAAGAACAACCTTCAGAACACGGCCAAAGAGCCCGAAAAACCCACAACAACCAAAGAGGACTTCTGCTTGCACAAGGAGGTAGTGAATACTTCTTTGTACAAGTGCAGAAAAACAAGCTACTCATGCTGTATCATCATGTGAGTTCTTTGACTCAAATAGGATCCTGATCATGGGTACCAGTGGTTATGACTGAAAGATCACGATGCAGTATAATAGAAAGATATAATTTAATAAAAATATTTCATATGCATAAATTATCACAATGAACTTTACATAATATTTTGTCATCTCAAGTACAATTTCTTCCTTTTTAAAAAATAAGGAGCTTATTGCTTCTCTACAACATATACAGCAACTGCTCTGCAGACAGATTGAAACAAACACCAGAATGGAAATGGAGCTGAATAAATTAAAAGAAGAATATCAGGTCAGATATTGGTTATGTACTCTGAGGGTACCTGGTGAACAGTTTATAAAAACTTGAGATGTTTTGAAAAGTTGTCATGTTGCACAAAAGTTAGGTTATTCAGTTCAACCTGTCCATAGCTTGGAAGTGCATTGAAATTAACATGTGAACATTAAACATATCATAAAATCCACGAACATTTTTATGCACTATAATAGTTACTTTAGCTATGGTCCCTTTCCCCTGACAAAAGGCAAATGATGCCTCTCTGTGAGCACTACTGTACAAATGGTTCTTATCTTTGGACTTCAGATTTTTTTTTGGAGGGGGGTACGGTTTTCAAGAACCCTAAGCAGGAAAGCCAGTGAGCAGAATTCCTAGGACTTCCAATCCCAGAAGTCACATAGAATCTCCGACAGTCTTCTGGGAAGGGGGGGGGAGGAGAAACCAGAAGAAAGATGTCTTTCTACTACCATTGTCTGCTTCACTCCACGTGGTTTAGCTGGAAAGAAAAAGGGAACATTTACTCAATTGCATTCCCTCCTGGGAGTCACCTCACTGCTCCTGGGAGGGTAGTTCAGTGAGATGGTCTCCCTCTAATGGGTTGGCAAGACTGCCCTACTCAAAGACCACTGGAGCAATCACCAGGAACCAGTGCAAGTGAAGGGTTTTTACTTTTGCTTTCCCAAGTGATACATGTAGAGAAAAGCACAATATGGAGGTAGACACACATTGCTTCTTTCTTCTGGCTTCTCTTGTCCCAGCCCCAGTCCCTTCTGCCTGAGGGATTCTAGTTAATTTCTGGAACTGAAAATCCTACAATTAAAAAAATCTCACCTCTAATTGTGGTTCCAACACATGTGGCAACAAACAGATTTGAAAAAGTAATGTGTTGTAGCTTAGGCATTGAAACTACGGATGTAATTAACAACTTGCAAGAACATGCTGAAGCGGCGTAGCAAGACTACCGTACTCATAGACCACTGGAGCAATCATCAGGAACCAGTGCAAGTGAAGGGTTTTTACTTTTGCTTTCCCAAGTGATACATGTAGAGAAAAGCACAATATGGAGGTAGACACACATTGCTTCTTTCTTCTGGCTTCTCTTGTCCCAGCCCCAGTCCCTTCTGCCTGAGGGATTCTAGTTAATTTCTGGAACTGAAAATCCTACAATTAAAAAAATCTCACCTCTAATTGTGGTTCCAACACATGTGAAAACAAATAGATTTGAAAAAGTAATGTGTTGTAGCTTAGGCATTGAAACTACTGATGTAATTAACAACTTGGCAATGAAATGCTAATGACATGCAAGAACATGCTGAAGTGAGAGCAGAATCCACCAACATTATAGCAAAACAGCACAATAAAATCCATTCTAAACATTAAAAATCCTCCATAGTGTCAAGCAGACACAGAAACCATTAATTGTCAGAGAAAAGAGCTGGAGGGTGGGGAGAGGAAGGTGGGAATTATGTGTTTATGCTTTGTTGCCAAAGCAACATGAGTTAAACGCCATAGCTAGATTATTCCTGTAGTATTGTATTCCAGTTTTGAACACATAGGCATTCTGGTTCCTGAATATATTTGTTAGCTTGTTTCCAGAAACTATAAACAGGGTAAATGGGCTAAATAAATTTGAGGACATAACTTTTGACGTTGGGTAGGACAGGTTTCCTGAATATATTTGTTAGCTTGTTTTCAGAAACTATAAACAGGGTAAATGGACTAAATTGAGGACATAACTTTTGACGTTGGGTAGGACAGGTATCACTAAACTGTTTTTTCCTTTGCAAATTTCTTATTTCAATGTTACCTATTTGGCTTACTAACTCCAAATTTTCTAAATGGCAAAAACTACTTGAAACTTTTGGTAGTGAGGAAAAGAAAAATAGTTAATTAAGGAAACCTTTTGAATCTCTACCTCATGGAATGAGGCTGCTAGCTGCAATCTGAAATTACATAATATAGTCTTTCAGTTAAAAAGTTGCTTGATCCAATCAGAGATGAAAATTTGGTCACATTAGTAGACATGGAATTGTGGTCAATCACAACCACATTATGGCTTGGTTCTTTCTGTAAACAAAAAGTGAGTGGATAATGCCTTTCTAGAAGTATTGAGATCCTGAGTAAAATTCTTAGCCGCATTGCTCTCTCTCTATGTCAGCATTATCCATTTATAAGCCTGCTTGAGTTTTAAGACCATCAGGAGAGGCCTTTCTCTCAGTTCCATCACCTTCACAGGTACATTTGGTGGGGACACAGGAGAGGGCCTTCTCTGTTGCTGCTCCCAGACTTTGGAACTCCCTCCCGCTGGAGGCTCAGCTGGCCTTATCTTTGCTGTCCAAGCTTTCTCTTCACACAAGCGTTCCCTGAGTAACTGGCTGCCTGAGTGGAGTTTTAAATGGATTACTGTACAATTTAGATTTTTCAGTCATGCTTGAGCGTCAATCTCTCTTTGCCTTGGGCTTCCTAATTTTGTTAAAGTATTCCTTTCTTTTTCCAAATAAATGTGTGACTCCATTGCAAATAAAACTGTGATTTCTGCTGGAGTTAACATTGTTAAATTTGGTACATTTCCTGTCAGATACATCCTGTACAGCTAATTGCAAATAAGGCCAGTCTTCTTTCATGGAAATTGTTGCTTGTTGATCAGCCAGCAGGGAGAGCTACTGTAGTTTGTTTTGGGCTTTTTTGGTAACAATTCCATATACATCACTTTTTTTGGCATGTATAATCATCAATAATGGTCCAAAGGGAAAGTGGCAGATGAGTCTTTAGGTGATACTGATGGTAGGATGTTTAAACTTCAGAGGACAGAGTTCTAGCTCCTGTCCTCTGAAGATGCCAGCCACAGAGACTGGCGAAATGTTGGGAAGAAAACCTCCAGAACACAATCAAACAGCCCAAAAAACCTACAACCATTATTTTCCCCCCTTAAACTTATTTTTCCCCAAGCAACATAACACTGAATTGGTAGAATAGCTTGTGAAACTATGGTGCTTCTCTGACATAATATTATACTGGAAAAGCGTAATTTTAAAAAATTGTTTGGAGGAAAGAGAAGTGATCCCTTGTCATTCCTCCAAAATGTTCCTGTTGTGCTGGCATACCACACCATGCTGTAGGGTGTGCTTGTCAAGTGTGTGCTTTCTGTGCTTCCTTTGGTCATTTTTTAAATCATGCTTGTGAATTGTAGCTTTATGTCAGATAAGCACTGCAGTTTTATAAGCTGTTATGTCAGTTCAGTCCTATGCTACTTGCAATAGAAAAAGAGGCAGGGTGATCCCCAGTGAGAATTGTAGTAATTTGAGTTGTGATGTGGACTTTTGTCCTCAAAACTGGCAAGGGCAAAAAACATTAAATGAGAAAGACAACAGTAATTTTACTGCCATAGAAATCTTTGAATCAACCTGGGTCATCTTCCCTGTCTAATTGCATCCTAAGACTTAATGGTGTGAAGTGTTTGTCCTTTTCCTCAGCTTTTTAGACCTCCGAAATGCCAAAACAATATTAGACACTTTATAGAGGCCTGATGCAATTCAAGTGCCACTTTGAGACCCCTCAGTTTCCTTCAGATCAATTTGGATACTGTATTCCCTCATGTGGCGGAACCTCCACATCACGCCTGTCCATCATGGGGAGCTCAAGGGCAGGATCCTATGAGAGGACAGGAGGGGCAGAACCAAAAAGGACAGTTAGAGAGTTAGCAAAGAGAGGTTTGGGGAGATAGGGAATTGAAGAGAGAGAGTTAGGAGATTGAATTGAGAAAGAACACTGAGATTGGAAAGTTGGAATGCTAGAGAGATTAGGAAAGAGTTCAAAAGTATAGAGAATAAAGAGTCAATGAATATTGTAAAAGTGAATAAAAACACCTACAAACCAAAGTAAAACCAAATGATATTTAATGAATAATCCTAAACATCTGTGATTTACGCCTGTGATTTGCATAACAACTATAATATAAATAAATCTGTTGTATTGGCCGCATGTGCCTAAGATCAATCTATTTGGTATTGAGGGAATCATACCTGGTGACAGCGTGAAGTGAGGAAACGCATCCAGAGGGTGGACTTAAGAAAAAATAAACAAAGGACACTGGGTGGATGCAACACCTCATTTTCCAAATAAATTCAGAATACAAAGCACATTGCTAGTATTCTGTCCTCTGAAGATGCCAGCCACAGAGACTGGCGAAACGTTAGGAAGAACCACTTTCAGAACACGGCCAAGAAGCCCGAAAAACCCACAACAACCACATTGCTAGTGTTGTTCATCTGCCACCAGCACAGAAACTTCACCCCAATCTTTAGATATGCACATCAGATCCTTCTGCATATCCCAATTCTTGGAGTTGATCCAGAGGGTTGGAGAAGTCTCAGGAACCATGTAGAGCAAAAGTTCCCATCCTTCGGTAACTCAAGTGTCCTTGGACTGCAACTCCTAGAAACCACAGCGAGCATAGCTACTGATGAAGGGTTCTGGGAGTTGCAGTCCAAGAACAGCATAGCTACTGATGGGAGTTGCAGTCCAAGAACACCTGGGTTATTCGAGATTGGGAACCCCTGCTGCAGAGGACTGAAGAGAAAAGATAACAAATGGGGGAGTCTTATCTTCTCATGAGATTTGTGTTCCTGGAAAGAGAAGGGCTAATCCTCTTCATCCCACATGTAGGTTTATCTCTCATAGTGAACGTTGTTACTTCTATCAAGCAGCCTTTTTTCTGAAAACTTCCAAACTCATCTCATCTTGAACATTTTGATTGCCTTTTTCTTAATCCTCTTCAGTTCTACATAGAATTGCAAAAGTATCTCAACCATAATATGTTATAGCATCATTGTGGCACTTGCTTTCAGTCCTTTTACTAGTGGTTCCTAATACTGATTTTTTTTTTCATTGAGGAAAACCATGGGAGGCGTTTGTCACTCTTTTGTCTTTTTTTTTTAAAAAATAAAGCACAAATTCCTAACCTGGGGGTCAGGACCCCCAGGGGATTAGGACATGTTCTCTGGTGGGTTGCCACAGTTATGTTTAGTTGCAATTAATTTTATATTTACTGTATTATATTAAATATGATATGCACATTGCTGTTTTATTTTAATCTTCTTGAGCTACAGATAGATAATTTTAGTCTGAACTGGAATTGCAGGCAAGCTAGAATTCTGATTTATTTCTCTATCCCTTTGGGTGGATTTTCCTTTTATGTATGCACATCACTCCTATCCCATCCAAAAGAGCTACTCTTGCTCATTTTTCCTCTACTCCTTCGTATCCATCTTTTGGAGGACTGACGTCAGCTCTTCTGACTGGAAAATTAACCCAGCTCAAAAAGGTCTGAATGAGACAAATGCACAGTAATGTTTATAAATGGAATGACTGCAGATTGTGCAACCTTAACAACAATCTGAGGTTTATGACTCAAAGAGACTAGCAGAGAAAAAAATTAATTAGATTACAGTGTTCAGGGTGGTAGCTATGCAAATACTGTCAGATTATCTCTTTTCTGACATGAACTTTTTATACATTTCTATGCATGAACTTTCTATATATTTGTATACATACTTTCCCCCCTCAAGAACCATAAAGCAAAATGTGCTGCTTATATATCGCTCCATAGTGCTTAAAGCACTCTCTTGGTGGTTCACAATTTAATGATGCAAGTTGCACTTTCTCTCCCCTAACACCAACTTCAAGTTTCCAACCTCAGAAGGATGGAAGGCTGAGACAATTTAATGATGCAAGCTGCACTTTCTCTGCCCTAACACCAACTTCAAGTTTCCAACCTTAGAAGGATGGAAGGCTGAGTTAACCTCAAACCAGCTACCTGAGCCGAGTCTTGACTTCATTTTTAACCATTGCACCACCCCACTGGCTCTTCTGGGGAGGGGAGGGGGACTTTTACGCAAGTATTTTCAATTCCTGTTTGTGCTCATAAATCGGGCAATTGCTACATTTTTACAGTAACTATATACATATAAGAATATATACATATTAGATGTATATACATATTAAGAATTTCCTAATGTTACAGGAATATTGTTACATTAATTTAGAAATGGTGTGATGTTCTTTGGCTTAAGGGGCAAAATAGCAAATAATTAATTTTGAAAGAAATCCAATGGATACCTTTTTTCCAGAAGATATTTTAAAGCATCACAGAAACCACACATATATGTTATGCATTAAAACAGTGTGTTTATCAAGTTAAATATGATCACATCTTCTATTAGGTAATGGATAAACTGCCCACTTTGTTTTTTTAAAAAAATATGATAAGAGCTAAAATAACCTGCAGTACTTGAGAAAGTATAAGAATTGTTATGGCTGATTTATATAAGCTTGCTTGAATTTATCAGTGTGAAAGTAAATCTGACAGTGAGTAATCCAGAGATGTTAACATAACTATGACAATTTAAAATCCTTTTCAGTGGATTGCCTAGCAGTATGTTGGTGTTATGTAAATATTAAGTAGCAGGAGCAAAAGAATCTTGGTATTTTTAAACAGTTTTGTTCCATTTCATTGGACCAACTTAAAAATGAAATTAACTAGAAATGTTAAAAACCCTACAAACTGGAATTTTTTATTTGGTACTTCATGGTTCTTAAATTAATTTTAAATCTAAATTACATGGAATATTATTAAAGTAAATTTAGGTTTGATTAGTATAATAAAAGTATGTCCTGGATTGTAGTGTAGTGTTTATTTTCACAAACAAAGGTTTAGAATGTGCTACATTTCATATGTCTTAGCACTGCACTTTATATTACTTTTTCAGCACATTAAAACTTATGCAGTGAAACTGAATAATGGCAAGTATTTTTATACCCTTTTATAGCCATTTCTTTTTCATAACCTCCCCCTGTTTTGTGTTAGCTAAACTATAAGCACCTTTCTGTTAATTTATGAAAATTATTGTTGAGATAGCACATTATTGCTGATCTGTATGGCACTTTCAGCATGTTAGAAGAAAAAGTCCAAGCAACATAAAACACATCAAAATTCATTAATGTGGTATTGATTATTTTTTGGATAATTAATTTTATTGCAGACCCTTGAAAGAGATAATGAGCTGCAAAGGGAGAAGGCAAAAGAAAATGAAGAAAAGTTCCTTATTCTTCAAAATGAATATAACAAAGCACAAGCAACTTGGAAAAGTGAGGTTGGTTTATACAGTATTTAAATATGTGCTTTTCCCCTCCCCCCAAAAAAGTCCAAAAATTATCTAAAGTAAGAGCAGGATCAAATATAATTTGTCTCTGAATAACCATATTTCTATAGTAATAAACATTTTGGACCATATCCAAACACTGGACTTCTGCCAGAAAAAAGGTGAATTCCAGCATGATCAGGTGGAATCTCCATACGATAGCTCCAGGAACCTTGCAAACCAGTTGCAAAGGGCTGGGAAGCATTAAGAAGAGAAACAACTGCCTTTTTGCCTCTCCTGTGGTTGCCTGAAAGTCTTGGGGCAACACAAAGAGATACAGGAAGGAGGAAAAACTTTTCTGGAGCAAATATCAGCAAAACATTAGATTCCCTTTGCTTAGTTTGAAAAATATGTTTTGTTCATCAGCAACATCATCATCAGTGTCTGAAAACTGACAATTTTAAATACAGTACATGTTTTCTAAAACTATGGTAGGTCAGTCAGAATAAATTGAAATATTACTTTATAATTTTCTCCTCTGTACAGCTGAATCCTTCCCAGAAAATAAATCCAAGGAGCAAACCTGACTTGTATACCATTTGTTATTTTATAGTTAAGAGAATAAATGCTATTTCTTGTGTAGGAACAGGACACTTCAGTTCAATATGCTCCCATACATTCTTCTTTTAGAAGCATTGACTGTCTTTATTCATACTTAAAATGTAAAAAGTAGCTACACTGAGGTTGTCATATTTTGTATGCATCATAAGACAAGAGTTGCTAAAAAAGATAACAGGGCTGGGAAAAATTGAAGACAACCAGGAAAAGAGGAAGACCAAGTATGAGATGGACTGGCTCAATAATGGAAGCCAAGGCCTTTGGTTTGCATTGCCTTAGCAGGGCTGTTAATGATAGGACCTTTTGGAGGCGACTAATTCAGTAGTATTCTGTCCACTAACTGGATAGTGTCATCGAAGCTGCAAACATGAATTTCACCCAACTCCGGGAGGCAATAGAAGACAGGAGGGCCTGGCATACTCTGGTTCATGGGGTCACGAAGAGTCACACATGACTAAATGACTAAACAACAACAATTCAATTGGGAGCAACCTGACAGCATAAAATCACAAGCAATGTAATCCCTTGCTATCAAAAAGTTTAATGTATTGCTAATCAGTTGATACTGCTGTATATGTGTGAGAGAAGGGCTGAATCTAAACTTATGGGCAACCACAGGAGTGGCAAAAGGACAATTGTGTCTCTTTGAATGAGCTAAGTCTGCAAATTCTCAGCTGTTATTTTTTTAAAAAGCAAGCAGGTTTATCCTGTTGTAGAAGGCAGACAGAGATAAAACATGCAGCCACTTTTCTGTGCATTTGTTTCATAAACAACCAACTTATTTCTTCTTTTTAGCTAATGAATGGAGTCTTAGCAATGACTGATAGATACACCACTGTCTAGGGAAGAAATTTCCCTATTAGTTTAATCATTTTTTGGTGGGAAGTTATTGCTAAGGTTTGGTGCATTTTTATTTTAATGATTCCATTCTGTAAACTGTCTTATCGTGTTCTACAGTGAAATATAGCACATAAATGTTAAGGAATAAGTAAAAAAATAAAATTTCAACATTTAGAAATCAGGATACTACTCTAGCTATAACTAGTCAGTAGGGTGTATCCCCTCCGCTTCCCACAGCAATAAGAGTGCGGTCTTAGTTCTCCTGACACCATCCTGTTGAAGAACATGACAAAATTCTGTAAAGGGATGCGAAAAGTTACTGAAAAGGAGCACATTTCCTGTAGGCTAAGATGTCTGTGAGACATTCTCTCTCCATTTTAGCTTAACAATAATTGAACTACATTTCTTTCTTTTTGTTCCAGGCTAGAGACTTACCTATTGAATATGAAATGCATACAGGCAGTAAGGAAAGCAAATATACACAAACAACCTTAAAAGTTTCAAATAATCTTGCACAAGAGGAAAATGGAATAAAAGATGCACTACCTGCCTCTTTCAACCCTGATGTAAAGCTGACAGCACAAAACAGTGCTTATATGTGTGTATGGGAAGATAACTCAGTTAGTACCGAAGGTATAGTTCACAATTACAATACAAAGGAAGCAGCTGTCCTGATAATTTATAAGGATTATTTATGTTATGCTCATTGAAATATCAAACTGTACTCATGTAATATCACATAGACTTCCATACATTTCCATTGTTGGATGTTCATTTCAAAGTACCATGGTCCAAATGTGCGTAGAATGATTGACACCTCTCTCAAAGGTGTGGAAATGGAGTAGGTTGTCTGACCAGTTTTACCTATTCTAACAAGGTGGCACAAAGACAGCCTGCTAAACTGGACAGGGAAGCTACTTACTCACTCTATTGCTTTCTTGACAGCAGTTTCAAATGTGGCATATATATAGTTACAAGCTTTATTTTTGTAATGAAATGATATGTCGGCCAGTCTGATGCAAGGAGAGTTTGATTTTCAGACTATTGAGTGAACAAATGACAGGGTTGAACAGGATTGTACTTTACAGGCCTCATTTTATCCATTCTTTAACTAGAAATTATGGTAGGCTGGAACTGTGTTGGAAGGGGGAAGCAACAGAAGGCTTTTCATTCCTTACAAGCATTTTCTTTGGTGGATTCCAGGGAAGAACCAGAATTGATTAGATGCCGTTTGTTTGTTAGACGCTAGGAGAAGGAGGTCTCCTTCTACGCGAAGGGAAACTGAACTTGTCCTTTAAGAGTCCTCCTGAGCAAAATGGCAACCATTTTGAGCCCCAGAGTCTGCATGGAGTAAAAAATTAGTTTAAAATATCCAGCTGGGAAGTATCTAAGCAATGGAAAACTTTGATTGCACCTAGACTGCATCTGTGTGGAAAATCCATAACATGTTAGTTCCATTCCTCACACATTAGAAGCAAGCTGCAGCCTTTACACATTGCAATATGTATTTTGTAAGAGGTGCGTTTGTGTGGGAATGTAAAAAAATGAAAGAGAATACAAAAGTGTTGTTAGAAATTATGGCCATGATCCAATAGTGTATCCCTGTGTTCAGTGACAGGAGAATTGGAACTTTTTTCCTTTCCATTGCTGCAGCCTTTTGTAGTACCATTTTTCTGCTTCCCAGAGCAGATTCTTAGCATGCATGTGTGTCACAGGAAGGCAGGGGAATTCTTCGTTGTGGCAAAAGCAGCAGGATTACAGTATGTAGGATCCTGGCCTATGTTACTACCTATAGTGGTCTCTTTCTATCTCATTATGACAGTCTCACATATTTCCCCTTTAAATTTGGTGAGCAAAAGGAATGAAGTAGTTTTTCATCAACGCACAATAGCCTCTCTTGCCCCATCAGTAATGTGTTTTGAAACCATGCTTTGTCCAGCTGCTCATTAGCAATTTCACCTGATTAAAGTTTGCACTCATCATTTTCTTTCTAATTATTGGGCAATAAAAGGTAACTTCTAATGCTACATAGGCTAACATTTGTATCACTTTAAAATCTTTCCTGATACTTTATAAGTCTGAACTTCTTACTGAAGTTTTGAGCGACATGCTCTTTTAAATGTTAATCCCATTGATCTATTTCAATCATTATTAAAAGTATAGCTAGAATAGAAAGAGGTTGGGCAAGTACATTTATATCAGGCTCTAAGAACTTTGGTTTGTGCAATTCTTCACAAATGGCTTGCCTCTGCCAAGGTAAGCAAAAGAGACACAAAGTGCTGTATTACACATTTTAACATTTTCCATTTTTTTTTGGTTGTGCTGGGATTCTGCTGCAGAAGACAGAAGCACATAGAGTGGAAGCACAGTGTGATCAAAGAATTAAAGATATGTATTACACCTTTTAACATCTTCCTTTTTTGTTGTTGTTGTTGTGCTGGGATTCTGCTGTGTTCTCCTCCAGAAGACAGAAGCACATAGAGCAGAAGCACAGTGTGATCAAAGAATTAAAGATAGAGTGGTACCTCCATTTACAAATTTAATGTGTTCTCCGGGATGTTTCATATTGCGAAAAATTTGCAAACTGAAATGCAGTTTCCCATAGGAATGCTATAAATCTCCCAGGCACAATGCATCCTGGGGAAACTTGCTTCATATTGCAAAAAAATATTGCAAACTGAGGCATTATTTTCAGGATTTTCATTTGTAAACCGAAAATTATGTTAACCGAGGCGTTCATAAACGGAGGTACCACTGTACTACAATTAGACGGTGTTCACACTGATCTGTAAGAGTTTCACTGTTGTTATTCAGAACGATATTTTGCAAGTGTTCATTATTATACAAACTGTTTTTTTAAAAGCATTTTCCTTCAAACATCTTATCCCTATAGGTTTAGAACTTCTAGAGAACTACGTGTGTGAAGACGAAACAGTTCATCCTTTTAATGAACAAGAAAGGGAGGGTTCTCTAGGCAAAACCAATTTCATTGAGCCAGGAAGGAGCACTGAGTCATATATTTCTGAATATAAAGAGACAATGACAAAGGGGAAAGAAGTTGAAAAAACATTATTAGAAAGCATTGAAGATTCAGAAAATTCTGTTCCAAATCAAAATGCAGATTATGATAGAAGACTCAGCAAGCCTCCAGACAGAGTTGTTACTAATGAAATGGTTTCTGAGATACAAGCAAGTATCAACAATACGCTTCATGAGGTAGTGTCCTCCACAAGTGGCGTCCTCAGTAAAGACTCAAAACTGCAGGATGTTATTAATGAAAAAACATTGAATTCAAGCACTGAAACGGATTCTGTCTTGTCACAAATGACAGTGAATGAAAAAGGTGTCCAACATGAATCCTTAGATAAAGGCACATATATTTGTAATGCAAAACAAACATCACAAAACCACAGTACCAGTAAACAGATAAATACTCCCCTTGGTGAAGTACATAGTGATAATTCATCCACAAATAATACGTGCTCTGAGCAAGTAAATAGTTTCAGTACATCAGAAAACATAATACCTTTGCATGCTTCTTTCTGTAAGAATTCAGGTATAAATCCTCATATTACCAATGACAGCATTAGTAAATCACCCCTTGTAAAAAATCTCAATGCATATGAAAAAAATTCATGCAAAGATATAAACAAAATCACAAGCAAGTGCTCTAATAAAAATAGTTCCATACTGAGAGAAATGGGCACAAAGACAGCTGAAATTTCATGTCTCTACACTGAAAATGTACATGCGTCTCAGAGTGCAGGCTTGAAAGATAACCATATTACCAAAGAAAAACAAAGAGACTTCCATACTTCTAAAACTACAAGTGAAGAATTTGTTGTGGTTGCTGAACAAGAGAATATATCATTAAATGAAAAGGAAGAGCCACTAAGAGGTACAATTAGGGGAGAAATTAGTACAAAAGAAGACATAGAAGAATTATGCTCTTTACCCATAAAAACAACTGAGGATTTCATAAACAGAAGTGTGAGGCCTTGCTGTCAACTTGGAACTATGGGTGAAAAAGCCAAGAAAATTGCAGTAGAGTTAAATCTACCAAGGGTATGTCAAGGTGAAATTCAAACACTGTGTGCTTCAACTTCAGAAATGGCTTCCTTTTTAAAAGAAAACTTACTTCTACAAGAAATAAATGATTCCCAGAATTCAAAGGGATCTGTTCAGACTATGAACCTACACACAGCTGTAAAAGAAGAAACACTAGGTAAGATTTTTAAAAATAATTTACAACTACTGCAAAGTATAGAATCACAGTGATCGCTAACAAAACATTGTTGCAAGGACTACTGAGTGCAGTGTTATAGAGCTACCTAGGAGTAGCTCAGTTGAACTTGGTCTTTACTAATGTTTATTTCACTTGTGGCAATTTCTTGATTTCACAACTTCTCCACGTGTGAAAGGATGGAGGCTGCTCCTCCGCCTCCATCTCCTGCTGCCTCCACCGCCCGATCACCTCCTCCAGTGTGACTTGCCAGGGCTTACTTCCAGCTCACATCCCGTCTTGTCCCCTGCCCGAAGGAAGCCCGCGAGTGGCACTGGAGGAGGCGATCCAGCGGTGGTGGCAGTCAGTGGGCAGCAGCAAGAGGTGGCCAGGCACATCTCCTCCTTTACCTCTGTCTCCACTTCCTCCTGCTTCCTCAAAAGTCCTTCCTCAAATGTCTTACCTATTTTGGGAAATTCTCCCCAAAGGCTTCTCCAAGTAGAATATTGTTCTTAGAAAAATATTGTTTCATACAGAGATCTTTTGCTTTATATTTTTGCAGTGTTTTTAATAAATTGGCATACAATGCAAAGTAACTCTTAGGTATTTGAGAGCAAAACAATGATCTAGTTAGAGGTCCTTCCATTTAATCTGAAGTTTCCAAGTAGCCAGCTTGTTTTTTAGATTGAAGGCATGTATTTGAGGGTTAGTAGGGTTAGTTTAAGCTAATTTCTATCATAATATATAGCATGTTTTTCTTTAAAAAATCTGTTAGATGTTCTACCATCTGAATGCTGATCAGCAAATGTGAGATCATCAGCATAAATAAAACTTTTGTTGCTTTGAGGAAGTGGTTGGTTGTTGTTGTAAATGTCAAACAACACAGAAACCAATACACTGCCCTGGGATAGACTATTCTTTTTAGTCCCCCATTGGCTGCATTGTCCATGAAAGTTAACGAAAAAAGAGCAATTTTACAAAAGAATAGCTGTTACTTTAGTTTATAATCTTTGGTTAGATTATAGAACTGTGGCAGTGGTTGTAAGCCACCCAGAGACCTTTGGGTAGAGTGGGTGGCATATAAGTTAAACAAACAAACAAACAAACAAACAACTAATACATGATTATGAAAAGTGCCATAGCTGGCTGCAAGATCAACAAAGGTCACTCCTGTGATCTTCCTAGTTTCAAAACTATGTGCAATATGTTGCATTAAATGTAGGATTTGTACTGTACAGTGCTTCTCAGATCTAAAGACAGTCTGTTGTGGGATGAGGAGAGGTCAACACATTATAGACAAGTGGTGCATATTTTGAACTGGGGTACAGAAAGACTTCATATACAATTGGGTTATAGGCTCACTAGTGATGTCAAGTCCCAGTTATTTCCACATTGTTGTCATCATCTGCTCTTGAAACACAGAAGTTTGCTGTTGCAAAGAAGGCCTAGTTGGGATGTTTCCACCCATTTTAGCACAGCTTCTCCTTTGTTGTCATTGAACGAATACCCAAAAACACTGTCGTGGCAATTGAAATCTCTTATAAAGTTTTTGCTTATAAAAATTGTCCATGGTTTTAAAGGAAAAGGTCATATTATGTGGTTTATAAATGGAACACTGTGCAATTATTTAGCTCCACTGTTATTCTCTGTCACCCTGTTCTGTGACAGCAGTAGATCACCTTTGGAAATGAAGCATGACTGGTATAGTGCTTCCATAATGTCTATGAGATCTCTCAGCTGTAGTCTCATGCTGGATATTTTGGAGCATTGCTGGGGGCTGTCTCCGTGTTTCTTGAACACAAAATATATCACAATCATATGCCTGGCAGAGCTGTTGCAGTAGCTCTTCTTTAGGTCTTGACAAGCCCCCTGTGTTAATAAAGATTATTTGGTCTTGATAAGGGCCTTTTTGTTATTGGTGACAGTCACAGTGACTACTTGCAGGCCACTGTCAAAGTCAAATAGAGTCAAACCTATCAAATAGTGTTTATACTGAATTTCAAGCTTTGAACTTGTTATTCAATGTCTGCATTAAATCTAGTTTCTCAAAAAGCAACACTGAAAGCCATTAATTGTAAATAAAATTGTGTCAAAATATATCTTCTATATCTTAATATAGATTATGTACTGTGAATCATTAAGCTTGAGCACTACAAAATTAGTACCTAGAGAATAAAATGCTCTTACCATTTCCTCTTTGTCAATCAGCTTCCACTCATTATAATAGAGCCTCTGACACTTTGAATTCCGGAAGTATCAATGTAGACCCCAAGATAAATCCCAGTGAAGAATGGAATGCTATGCCAAAGACTTTTAGTGATCCTTCTTTTCCCACAGAACATGTAAGTCAATTAAAAATACCGCAGAGCAGAACTTGGTGAGCTAACTCTGGAGATATGTATAGAATTGTATGCATCTGGATGTTTTAAGACTTACTTGATCTCTGAAATAATACCAAAAGGGCAAATGTGACAACATTTTTCACAATTAAAGTTGATGGAAAACAGCAGGAAAAAGTCACAACATATAAATCAAATGGATCTTAGACAGTCCATTAGAACTGAAGACTAGGTTCTAACAAAAATGCACAAAGTAACATTTGAAGCATATTATATTACTCCTGTTTACTTTCCAAGCATTCATACAGACATAAATTTTACATATCTGAATGGAATATAGTGTAAATCAGATAATTTAATTTAGATGTATTGATTGAACTGGTACTATATGTGTATGCTTTAAATTTCTGCAGTCATACTGTTCCTAGTAACCAGCTTAATTGAAGTATCCTGTGTCACATAAGCTGGTTTCAGTGCCTACAACAAAAATATCTCCTGTACAGCTCTCTACAGTTGAATACCATTAATGCAAACAGGACAAGTTTTTTTTTCAGCTTTCTATTTTGTCTTGTTTGGCAAGAGGATCACTTGGCACAGTCATAGCTCCCGGTCTCCTACAGATTGACATACTATTAGTAAGGGCAATGTGAGGAATGAGAAAACTTCTGTTTGTGTGTCCCACTACTGCTGCTTCTACTGGTTATGGAGGAGGAGAGGAGGGAGACGATATATTTGGGTGAGCTGACAGGAAACAAGTCAATACGTTTCTGAACCCTCAGGGTGAGTTAGGATTTTGCCCCCAGACTTCTCAGTAAACGTGAGAAATTTCTCAAACCATCTGACAGTCAGGAGCAGGGGTCTCAAACTCAATTTACCTGGGGGCCGCTGGAGGCAGAGTCTGGGTCAGGCTGGGCCGCATCAGATTTTCGGCCAAGCAGAGCAAGAGCCCGAGGAAGCCGCCAGTTTCCTTAGCCCAGCTGGAGCTCCGAGGAGGAGGGGGAGGAGGGGCACACAAGCCCTCGTTGCCAGCCATGACCCCTTCTGGCTCCGTCTTCACTACCACCACCACCACCACGAAGCAGTGGAAAAGGGAGGGAGCGCCGGTGACCACCTAGCGGGGTTGCCAAAGGAGAATCGCCTTGCCAAAGGAGAAAAGCCCCCACAGGTGCACGCGCGTGTACACACACACAGAGGTCCGGCAACCTTCCTCTGAGACCCCCCCCCCAAAAAAAAGGTGCACTCAGCAGCAGCCGCTACCCCTACCATGGCAGAGGAGCAAATTTTGCAAGGTGAGCCCAGGCAGCCTCCAGAGCTGAAGTGGCTGAAGCAGGACAAAGAGGAGGAGGAGGAAGCACCACCGGGCGCTGAGGCAGCCGCTGGTCAGGCTGGTGCTGGGGGTGCCGAGAGAAAGAGCCAGAGAGTCGCTTCCCTGGAAAAGGTGGCGGCAGCTGCTGTTGGCGTACCATGGCAGAGGAGCAAATTTTGCAAGGTGAGCCCAGGCAGCCTCCAGAGCTGAAGTGGCTGAAGCAGGACAAAGAGGAGGAGGAGGAAGCACCACCGGGCGCTGAGGCAGCCGCTGGTCAGGCTGGTGCTGGGGGTGCCGAGAGAAAGAGCCAGAGAGTCGCTTCCCTGGAAAAGGTGGCGGCAGCTGCTGTTGGCGGCTTAGAGGTGCTCTTCGAGGACTGGCTGGGAGTCTTATTGTTGAAATAAAAAACTTTTTTTTATTTCAACAAAATACATTGAAACTGTATTTTATGCCTTCTTTACACCAAGCAAAACTTTCTGACTTTTTAAAATTTAATTTTAATCTTGATAGCAGCTTTATGTTTTATAGTTCTCTTTATTTACATGTTTTTATTATTATTTTCTATTACAGTATCTTAAAAATAAGCTTATGCTATGTGCACATTTAATTGTTTTGTGACCTGCTTTAGGAACATGATACAGTGGTGCCTCGCACAGCGGATTAACCCTCGCTGTGTGAAACATCGCTGTACGGAAGTAAAAAAGCCATTGAAATGCATTAAACTACGTTTAATGCGTTCCAATCGGCACGTTTACTTACCGTACAGCGATGCCAGCAGCCATTTTCGCGCCCTCCCCACGCTGCCGGAAGCCCCGAAATGGCTGCGAGCAGCATTTTCGCGCCCTCCCCTTGCTTACCAAGGGCGCGAAAACGCTGCGCCCTGGCCCCTTTCGGCTGTTCCGGCGGCCATTTTGGATCCGCTGGATAGCTGATTGTTGGGTCGCAAAGCGAAGGTCGGTAAGCGAGCAGCTTACCGCCCTTCGCTCTGCGATTTCCTGCCTATATGGGCACCATTTTGCGATCGCATTTGCGATTGCAAAAACAGCCTCGTAGAGCGAATTCATCGCTCTACGAGGTGCCCGTTCTGCGAGGCACCACTGTATAAGGATTGGAAAAAATAAGTTCAGTAGGTTTCTGGAGATGTCAGCTATTTTCCAAAATCTAAGCAGAAGAAATATTTCTTAACATAGAACGCATGATTGCATTCAATGGACTGTTAGTAGCACACAACATCTGATGGTGTGGAAAAGTAGAACCTGGTGAAAACAAGAGGGTGGTTTATTCCCAAAACTAGCTCTGGAAGGCTGAGAAACCTGCCAGAGCCATTTTGCAAGAGGTACAGAGAAAATGCAAAGGAGCCTATGCCCATAAAGGTTACTTACAACAACAAAAGTGCAGAGGAGAGGGAAGGGCATCCTAGTAGCACTAGCATGACCTGAACAAGAATGCGTCAACCACAGCACAGTTACCCTCATAACTTCTTATGTATGTATTGTAGGTCACAACAGCATGCCAACTGGGATCACAACAGAAGTTTTCTCAAATGCCCTCTGAAATCAGTGGAACTATTTTAAATGAGAGTTCAAATAACCCCGAAGAAACTGGCTGGAATTTGCAAAATGTCTTCATAAAAACACAACTCAGCAATACTGAAAAGTTTCTGTCTTCAGAAAGGCTCTGTCAGCCCCGAAAGAGAAAATATGAAGAAGATTCAGAAAAGGCAATGACAGCAGATAAATCAGTAAAATGATTGTTTCTAAATGTGATTTGGAATCTGCATCAAAAAAAGTGTTCCAGTGGTGGATATATTGGGGACATGGCATCTATAAACAGTTTGTCACTCTACAGGTTCTTAATATTTCCCTTAAAGGGGAGAAAAAGAACACCTTAGAATGTTTTACTTGAAAACTACCAATGTAATTAGCTGAGAGAACACTATTTAGGGAGAGTTTAAGATTATTCTTATTTGTCATCCTTTGCACAACTTTCACTACAATATAACATCTTGTGATTATAAAATCTGGACAAATTCAAGATTCATTCTGATATTAAATTTATTGCTTTTGTAGCATGTAATTCAAATTACAATGTTTTGTAGCCAATTAGATATTTTGAAGATGAATAAAAAATTCACAAAATTTATCTGAATTGTTGGCTATAATTTAGGTTCCAACTGAGGACAAACTAATCAGTAGATAAAAGAATCAGGAATCTGACAAACTAAGAAGACTGTTTTTCACTTGATTCAGATTTTGTTTCCAGAAGTTAAGTGTGTCATACAGTTGTTGCCACTGTTGTTTTCCAAAGGTCCGATGTGTGCTGTGACTAAAGGAAAGAAATGTAAAAAGGAATTACCATGGAATTCCATCAGAGTTCTGCCTTGAAAAATTGCTGGTTTTTGTACACATCTATTAAGAAACACGTAAAAATACAGGGTGTACTATATATAAACAAGCACATTTACCCTCTATCAAAGGCTTTCTAGTTTCAGCTAGTTTGGTATTCTGTAGCCTTCATCAGTATTTAAAATCATCAGACAATGCTCATTAGTATTCATGCCACTGTTGGGCCATTAAATGAAATGTGCTGGAAAATAGGACTCTTTCATTAAATAAGCTAATCACATTCAGTCTGAGCTTTAATAAAATTATGATAAATAGCAACTATTTAACTATGGGCAACTGATAGGAATATCAGGCTTCTAGTTAAAATATTAAACAGATGTATAAGTGTTATAATTAGCATCGCACTAAGTTGCTTCACATTAAGATTTAAGGCTTACCTGACTACTACTTTTCTCTGTGTCTGGTCAATTTTGCAATGAACCATCTTTGTTTTTACAGCTGCAAAGCAAAACATATATATATATATTAAGATTTTTATATATTTTTTAATTGCCCCAAATGAACCTTGGTAAAACTCTAGAACTGAAATCTGTAAGTATATCCTTCCAACACGTGTTTTTTAAAAAAATCCTAACCAGTGAAGAGACAAAAAGGTGTTCTTACAAGGAAGTGCTTTCTAATTCATTTTCTTACACAGTGCCACATATATTAATTAAAGAAAGCATAATATGCTTTAAAAAAACAAACAAAAAAACAAAGACCTTCCTGGAAAACACAAGAGCCTTTTAAGAGAAACATTGTTTAAGCTGTTATGCATAATATTTCACAACCCCCCCAAAAATGTAGCAGAATGTACAGTACATCTGCAGGTAAGGATAGTTCAATACAGTGGTGCCTCGCTTGACGAGGATAATCCGTTCTGTTGAAATCGCTGCTAAGCGAAATCCTCATCAAGCGAAATTTAAAAACCCACTGAAATGCATTGAAAACCGGTTCAATGCGTTCCAATGGCCTAAATACCTCAGCGTCCAGCGAAGATCCTCCATAGGGCAGCCATTTTCCGGTGCCTGTAAAGTGAGAATCCGTCCTAAAGCACAGCGGGGAGCCATTTTGCACAGCGGGTGGCCATTTTAGAGCCGCCAATCAGCTGTTTTAACATTTTCATCTAGCGAAAAATCTGTTCCCGAAGCAGGGAACCGATCATCATTAAGTGATTTTTCCCCATAGGAACATTGTTTTGCAATCGCAATATCGATCACAAAAATGTCATCATAAAGCGGTTTAATGAGGTAATCGTTAAGCGAGGTACCACTGTATTATGTTTAAAATGCACTTATACAGTAAGCTGCTTACAAACATTCTCAGGTCATAACTGCTGTGCTTTTATTTTTTCAAAGCCTGATGGTAAGTAGCAAACTGTTTTACCATCAATAACAAATGCTTCAACATCATCAGCTCCAATCTGAAGCTCTTGTTGCATAGTATCAAAGGAGATTTCTTTATTTTCCACTGCCATTCCCATAAACGTGAGCAGCCTCATTTTTGCCATGTTCTGTTCATGCAACAGGCCTGCATTAAAAAACAAAGTGAAATGTAAGTTCTTATTAATAATGGTGATAAATTACCTAAAATATCTTAAATATTTTAAAATTTTATAAAATATGATTTAGGAGAATTTGAATTGTTTATTATTGATTCAAATCAGGTGATACAACCAGATACCTAAAACTGCAACCACTGTCACCTCAGTCTTGAATGAGGGCATTGTTTAAGTGCCACTGTAATGTGTTTTTTTGGACACTGACATCGTAACTCCCTCAAATTCTGTTCAGTTGTGTCCACCAGTGTTTCAGAATCCCAAACTGCATTAGCCATGCAGAAAAAGAATGGGATCAGCAGGTGCAGCAAAACCCCAAGAATCTGCACCAATGCAAGCATCTTTAAGGAAATATATGGTTCAAGGCCCCTTCACGGATTACTGCCTTGTCGTGGTGAAGGGGCTTGAGTAATTCAGAGAAGCTATGGGCTATGCCGTGCAGGGACACCCAAGATGGACAGGTCTTAGTAGAGAGTTCTGACTAAACGTGATGCACCTGGAGCAGGAACTAGTAAGCCATTCTACTATCTTTGCCAAGAAAACTCCATGGACAGAAACAAAAGGCTAAAAGATATGATGCTGGAAGAGGAGCCCCTCAGGTTGGGAGGTATCCAACATGCTATTGAGGAAGAGCGCAGGACAAGCACAAGTAGCTCCAGAGCTAATGAAGGGGTTGGGCCAAAGCCAAAAGGACGCTCAGCTGTGAATGCGCCTGGAAGTGAAAGGAAAGTCCGATGACACAAAGAAAAATATTGCATAGGAACCTGGAATGTAAGATCTATGAACCTTGGTAAGCTGGATGTGGTCAAACAGGAGATGGCAAGAATAAACTGACATCCTGGGCATCAGTGAACTAAAATGGACAGGAATCAGCTAATTCAATTCAGACAATTACCATATCTACTATTGTGGGCAAGAATCCCATAGAAGAAATGGAGTAGCCCTCATAGTCAACAAAAGAGTGGGAAAAGCTGTACTGGGGTACAATCTCAAAAATGATAGAATGATTTCAATACGAATCCAAGGCAGACCTTTCAACATCACAGTAATCCAGGTTTATGCACCAAGCACCGATGCTGAAGAGGCTGAAATTGACCAATTCTATGAATACTTACAACACCTTCAAGAACTGACACCAAAGAAAGATGTTCTTCTCATTCTAGGGGACTGGAATGCTAAAGTAGGGAGTTAAGAGATAAAAGGAACAACAGGGAAGTTTGGCCTTGGAGTTCAAAACGAAGCAGGGTAAAGGCTAATAAGAGTTTTGTCAAGGGAACAAGCTAGTCAACACAAAACCCCTTTTCCAACAACACAAGAGGCGACTCTACACATGGACATCACCAGATGGACAATATCAAAATCAGATTATGTTCTCTGCAGCCAAAGTGGAGAAGCTCTATACAGTGCAGCAAAAACAAGTCCTGGAGCTGATTGTGGCTCTGATCATCAGCTTCTTATAGCAAAACTCAAGTTTAAAGTGAAGAAAGTAGGAAAAACACAGGGCTAGTCAGGTAGAATTGAAACCAAAACCCTTAGGAATACACAGTGGAACAGATTTAAGAAACTTGATTTGGTGGACAGAGTGCCTGAAGAACTATGGATGGAGGCTCGTAACATTGTACAGGAGGCAGCAACAAAAAACATCCCAAAGAAAAGAAATGCAAGAAAGCAAAGTGGCTGTCCAACAAGGCCTTACAAATAGCAAAGAGAAGGGAAACAAAATGCAAGGGAGATAGGGAAAGTTACAGAAAATGGAATGAAGATTTCTAAAGAATAGCAAGGAGAGACAAGAGGGCCTTCTTAAATGAACAGTGCAAAGATATAGAGGAAAGCGATGACAAACCTAGACAGCATCTTAAAAAGTAGAGACATCACCTTGCCGACAAAGGTCAGCATGGTCAAAGCTACAGTTTTTCCAGTAGCAATGTATGGAAGTGAGAGCTGGACCATAAAGAAGGTTGACCACCGAAGAACTGATGTTTTTGAATTGTGGTGCTGGAGGAGACTCTTGAGAGCCCCCTGGACTGCAAGGAGAACAGACCTATCCAATCTAAAGAAAATCAACCCTGAGTGCTCACTGGAAGGACAGATCCTGAAGCTGAGGCTCCAGTACTTTGGCCATCTCGTGAGAAGAGAAGACTCTCTGGAAAAGACGCTGATGTTGGGAAAGTGTGCAGGCAAGAGGAGATGGGGACGACAGTGTCAGCGAAACTACCAACATGAATTTGACTGAACTCCAGGATGCAGTGGAAGACAAGAGGGCCTGGCATGCTCTGGTCCATGGGGTCACGAAGAGTCGAACACAACTTAACCACTAAACAACAACAATGGTTCAAGGAAGAACCACGGACACACCTCAATGACAACTGGCTATTGAAGATGGGGGGCGGGCGGAACCCAAGCCAAATGACAGGTCAATGGTTCACAAGTTAAAGCACTGAAGAGGAACAGTCTCCACTGAAACCTTATGTTGTAGATATGAACTTGTTCCTCTCTCAGCAATGTACCAGGTGGGTGCTGAATGTTTGCACCAAATATTGCATTGTTCTTTTTCTTCCTTGAATTTTTTTCCAGATTGTTCCAACCAACCAGTTGCACAACATCTGAACTTCACTCAGAACATAAATGGATAAGAGTGATAAGCCTGCGAAACTTAGCAACACAGAGTGGAGGGAGGCAAGGAGAGATTCAAGGCAAAATAAGTGGGTCACCAACCTGCAGATGAAGATATACCCAAGGAATGTGACAACAGAGGCACAAGAGGCAGAGATAAGAGAAATAGAGGGATATCTATGGTGTAAGGAAGTCTATGGTTGCCATATTTTCCAGTGCTTATTATAATTTTAAGTATGACTTGATCTGTGGA